TGATGATCCACGCTTAACATCGTGCATGGCTGGGTTAAATCCATGCAAACCCTGGTCGGTTGCATGTCGAGTCACCTGGTACGATACTCGGGCTCTTATAATTTCATTTGCTTCTCGAGTCGGTGATGATGTCAGCTTTGCCTGGCACTATCCCACTTTTTTCTGCTTCTTCTTTTGATTTTGACTTCTTTGCTTTTCCCCAAAACTGCTAAGCTTATCGATGCACCAGGGCAAAGTATGGAGTCTTTTTCTGAACATCCCCCATGAAGAACCACACGAAGTTGGGGGCTAAAAGTGGCTGGACTTTTCGCACCGATATACCACACACAGGATCGGTGGTAGTTCCAAGTTCGGGGTTAACGAATGACTTACCAGGATGGGGGGTATACACAGTCACTTACAAGAGTTCACCAGACTTGAGATTCTCAACCCCACCATCATGATCGAAAGGACATTTAAATACTCTCAACCAGTGGCCAGTCACAAAAGAAAGTTTCTCTGCAGACGGGCACTAGCCACCCATGCGCCCACCAGTCGCCGTTCTCGGCTTTGCAGCAGCCGTTTGCTGGTACCCTATGGTAACCCAGAACATCCCGAAAAAACCAGGACCCCCTCAATCCACGCGAAGAACGAGGGAGTGTCTAACTACCGACTAGGGCATTATGAGGGAAGACCCCGGTCGAGCCAATTCAGGCTTTGGCTAGTGCTCACTCTCTGAGTGACTCGCTCGGACTACTTGGGCTGGGAGCCTGGGACGAGGAGAGGGTCAAGCAACGCCCACTCCTCCAACCAGGCCGCTCTCCAGTCTCCAGTTCCCACGGGTAGCCCAAGGCGCGGGCCACACGGGGGCTTACCTGGTTCAGCACTTCAGCTGATGCCCTAGCGTCTTAGCGTCCAGGAGGGTCCGCCGTCCATGTCGACGGGTCACTGGCGCCGCTTTAGCCCGCGGGTCCTGCCCGGGCTCCACCCCGTTTGTGCTAAAAAAAATGCTCACTGGAAGTGCCAATCAGAAAATTGGACCAGGGATGTCTTCATTAATTGTTTTCTCTTTCTTTCTTTCTTTCTTTCTTTTTTTTTTCTGGTTTCTGGCCCCAAAGATGACGGAGGATAGGGCAGGATTGGTGGTAGTACTGTAGTCCATCTTTGGTTACTAAAGGAATCGGTGGTCGAGAGACCTGATTCATACCGTACAGTACACTTGATAGTGGCTAGTATTATTTTTGTTCCATCAAATGCTTCTGTCGAGTCATGGAACTCATGAATGATCATGGACGCTCATGATCGTTAGTAGTCAGATAGTTATAGGAAGGGTTCAAGTATGACCAGGTCGACTATGAATACTATAGTTAAATACTATTACTATAAACTGTCCTTAGTACTGGCATGACCCCAACTGGGGGCTGCTCGTCTTTTCCAGAATGCCGGTCTTATCTTGGGTCGTGGGGTCATCTTGTCGTTCTTCCATTCTTCTCTTATTTTTCGATTTTTTCTTTTTCGTTTTCTCTTCTTCCGATTCTTTTCTCCTCTCTCTCTCTTTCTCTCTCTCTCTCTCCTCCTCCTTCTTGACTGTACAACTTTCGTACTTCTTTCTTCATCTCCAAGACTATCCGTGTTATACTCCGTTTCCCCGTCCGCTCTCCACTTCTTGCCTGCTCACGTCATAGTCCTCCCCGAGGCTCTGTCCTTTTATTATTATTATTAATTTTTTCTTTTTGGCTCTTTTCTTCTTTGGGCCGATTTCCTCTTCCTTTCCTTTCCTTATTTTTCTTAGTCTTTTCTTTCCTTTTTTTTTGTCCACTTCCTTCCTGTAGCACCCTCTTGCTTTTTTTCTTCTCCTTTTATTTTTGGTTTTATTCTGGTTTTTTTTTCCCTTTCTTGGCGGTTCTGCGTTGGACCAAATTGGATCGACCTGCGTCGTCCTGCTTTCCCCTGCGTGACCGCGTTATGCTGGCGTCGACCGTGTGATTATCCTCCCTCCTCCTCCCCCTTTCAATAACTCAGACGTCACATCCCTGTCCTGCTTGACTCATCTCATCTACATCTTACGCCCCTCTTTCCCACTCGTCTTTCCTTCTTCTCATAAACACCCCAATGTCCCGCCATCCCGACGGAGACCCCAATCGTCGGGGTCAATATCCTCCCCCCGATACAGATCCGAGTCGCCAGGCACAATATCCTCCCACCGCCGACGATCCTAATCGTTCGCGCGCCTATCCCTACGAGCAACCTCACTATCCGGTATGTGATTCGGAACAAAAAAGGGGGCTGACCTCATTTTTCCTCTCCAAGACTCGTAAGAGGTCATGGAAGCTCATTATCCCTTCTCCCTTCTAGTATCCTCCCCAGCAGTCCTATCCCGCTCCTCCAGAACACGATCGAGGATACTATCCACCTCCACCACCATCGCAATATCCTGCTCCACCACACATGGCTGCCATTCACCCACACGCGCCGCAGGACTACCGGCTGCCGCCTCCTCCGGGAGCTTACCGGCCGGATCCATACCAGCAGCCTCCACCGCAACAACAGGCTATGCCATACCATGCAGCTGCTCCACGCCAGCGAACTGCTATTGCCTGCCGGTACTGTCGTCGACGCAAGGTATGTCGGGTTCGGTTGACTCGGTCTCACTGGCCGAACCCTCCTCGGAAGTCGATTCGAAGTCGAGGGCACGCACCGCGACTTTGATACTGATGGCTCTCATCTAGATTCGCTGCTCGGGCTTCGAGAACTCCCCAGATGGACGATGCACAAACTGCACGCGCTTCAATCAAGACTGTATGTTCACGCCTGTCTCCTCCCAGGCGCAAGCGTTCGTCCCTGCGCACGCCGCCTATCCGCACATGCGCCCCGGCAACAATGTCAACGGACAGCCTCCCCCCGGCACAATCCTCTACGGGGCCCATGGGCAGCCTTTACCCCCTACCTCGGCCGTGCAAGGCCCCGACACCACCCTGCCGCCGCCTCAAGGGATGTACGGCCATCCGTATAGCCGAGCCCCCACTGATGGTCCCCCACCGCCCCTTGCGCCGACTATGCCGGATCCGGTAAGGCAGTCATTCCCCTTCATGACGGGCTACTCCGATCTAATGTTTTGGTTTGTTGGTTTTACAGAGACAGCGGCGCGGCTCTGGCACGGGCTTCGATTACCCTGAGCCTGCCAATCTAGCTCCAGTTACACCCGCCAGTTCCACCCCCGGATACCAGACCCACACCACCCCGAGCCCCTACTATGGACACCCGCACGACCAGCGCACCTCGCCGCAGGCCGGCTATGTCTACGAGCAGCCACGTCATTCGACTTCACCGCACGGCTCGCCTTATGCCCCAATGGCCGCCCCTCCCGCAGGCCACACACCCCCTCCAACCTCGACTCCTGGCGGTTCCCAGCGGGGTGGCCTCAATGTTCGCGACATGCTGAACCCCGGCGCGGACGGTGACTCCCAGGGTCGTTCCAGTACCGACAGCGACATGCTCAACCAGCTGAACCGCCGTGGTCCTCGCTAAATACACCCGACCGGGCCGCTAGCAGGAGGAGTGGGAAGAGCTCATTAAGAGGAACGGCGCGCAGGACGCGGCAGGAATGCGGGGAACCCGGAGGAATGGTCAGAGACCCGTGTGCTGGCCACACTGTTGGAATTACCATGTGTTGAATTGCGCATTACTTAAGCGTGGCCTGATCGGAGCAACACGGTTGGACTCGGCCCGTCAACTATTTTCGCAGCTGGATTATTTGTTCTTGTCATCCCTTCGGACGCGCACGTGCCCTCACGAACGCAGGGGGAGCGGGCTATTGGTAGCCTATACACGGGCAGTCGACAATCTCGATCATTGGAAGTCATTGGGAATGAGAGGGAAATCTCTTGGGGTACGTTTGGAGCGCAACCAGACGGAAATGTGAGATGGGCGAAAAATGGACGACGACCAATCTTACTGGGTTGCATCGATGCGACCACGAAGGCACGAAAGAAAACGCGGACCCACGAGCTTTACGAGCCGCATGACGTTATACACCGAGAAGGCTAGGCCGCGAGGCCCTGGAGATCGGTATACGACATTTTATTGTTATACATTTCGATTCTTTGAATTAAATCGTGGAGGAGGGCTCGAATATTGAACGACCAGCTGCATGACCGCCGAAAGATCTGCCTGAATTTTGCAGTATCAAGATCTTTTGGGTTCCAGCTTCGATTCCCGAGGTACAGGCAGGATTCGGGTCTGATACACTCGACGAACACCCTATACACACCACAACTCGATTCTGTGAATACATTATCAACGGGCGGCAACAACAATATTTTTCACTTGTCACAAATTTCGGGCGGCTATTTTATTACTTTTGCACGTTCTGCGTTTCGGTTCGGCTTTTTTTTTTCTCATTCCGCGTTCCATTGCTCTGCTTTCTCGTACGTCTATATTATCCATCAGGGAAGGCAATCTGTTTTTTTTTTTTTGCGTGTTGGTGGTCCCCTGCTTGCGACAAAAGATGGTCGGCTGTGTGAACCTTTTTTGGATGTTTTTGCGTTGCCTTTGGTTTTGGTTTGGTTTTTTGTCTTTTATCACTGGGAGGCTGTCTGATCACTCTTTTTATGAATTTTTTATCTCTGCGTGCGTTTTATATGCTCTGATGTTTCATGCTATCTTTTTTTTTGTCGGTTAAGCGCCTTATATCGATTGAATACGATGGTGTCAAATCGTGTAATGCGGTTATCTGGATGATTATGTTCTTTTCTGTACGTCTGTCGACTACAGGCTATCGTATGAGACTGGACTCGTTCATCCTGTTGGGTTAGGTCAGGATGCTTCATTTTTCAATGGCCATCCCAAAATGGGTTGGGTGAGGTTGACATTCACTTAAGGTTAATCGGGTTGCCGAAGGGTGGATGAGCGGGCCCTTTTAGGGCTACAATAGTTCCTCCGCAATTCGGGTGCTCTAAAAAAGTACCTGGATTAGCTATTTTAGGTACCTAGCTCGACAGAGCAAAGTCTCCACCTGCTCTCTATTCCTGAACAATGATCACCGTCGCACCCCCTGCAATGATATGATTACCCGACTGCCCCTGTTGGTTTCCTACCGAGTAACTCCCCGCGAATGGAGGAACAAGCGTTCCTTGAAGCCCGGCTGGTGGCGTGATTTCCATCACGATCTTGCCTTGCTTGTTGTATCCCCACGCAGCGTAGATCAGTCCAGCAGGTGTGGGCACGCGGCCGTGCACCCATTCGGTCTTGAAGCCGGGCAGGGGGGCGAATAGGTAGGTGCTGTAACCGGGCTTTGTGGGTCGAAGGCCCAGAGCGTATTCGCTGAGGAAGACGGTGGGATAACTGCCCCAGAAATGGCTCATGCCGGTGAAGAGATCCAGACCGGGGTATGTGCCGTCGGTGCTCTGTTGCGATGGGATGTTAGGTGATCACTTCCCCTCATGAAACATGATGAGAAGACAAGAAGGGGGAGAAGCTACTTACGATGTACTCCCAGTATCCACCAGTGTAATTGCGATCGCGGTTCACCATGGGCGCCCACGTGGCATCCAACAAATCCTGTGCCAAGGCAGTACGATTCGTCAACGCGAGACCCTCCAGCAAGAAGCTCATATAGTACACGTCCACGATGCCGGGTGTATCAAAGAAGCGCGTGCCATTGATATACCCAGCCTGAACCCGCAGAGCGGACAGCTTCTCTACAAAGCTCGCCTGCCGTTGCTCACTGCCGATACCAGCCAACAGGACCTGCGCGATGTCCATAAGATCATATCCGGTACCGCCCAGCGTCGCGGCATAGTACCCAGCAGTCTCATTCCAGAGGAGAGAATCGATAGCAGTTCGCGAAAGCTGTGCCTGCGTCTGGTAAAACGCCGCAGCAGCATTATCGCCGATGAAGCGTGCCATTTCCGCCATTCGCTCCAGGCCAATGATCATGGAGACCGTATTAGCAGGACCAAGCGCCTGTCCCTTCTCTCCGGACAACGGCGTTCCAGTACTACCATACGGCGCACCAAACAACTGGGTCTTCTGATCCAAAGACCTCGACAGCGCATAGCTCGTAGCCATGACCATCCGCGGCCAAGCCTTTTCCAGGAACGTATCATTGCCGGAACGAACCCAATAATCATAAATGACCTGCATAAAATCGAAATCGTAATCCACAATTAGCGGGTCCACATTCGTCGTCCGAATTAAAGACCCCTCCGCATCCAGCGGACTGAATAGCGTGTTAATAGGGATTTGGCCCGAGCCAACTTGCCGAGAGAAAGCTTCCTCGGCCGGTCCCCAGACGTATTCACCCTGGTGGGAGCCAACCATGACGGTGCGAGCGGAGATAAGCCGGTCACCTAGCCATGAGAAGCGATCACGTTTGCCGGAGTCAGAGCAGACGTATTGGGTGTTTGATTGAACTCCGTACTCGACGAGAACGTCTTCCGATGTCATGGCGTTGCTGTATACGTTTTCGCCCGTGCTGAGTGTGACGTTTACGTTCCGCACGTAGGCTGCTTGGTCTTGCCAGGGACCAAAGGCGAAACTCGTGTAAATACCGCCGGGGATATAAGGGTTCGGATCACTGATGCCATACGAGCTGATATTGAAGTGGGCGATGAGCCGGTCGTCCAGGTAAACCGTGTAAGTGTCATCACCGGGGGACTCGGTGCGAATGGTGTGCCATGTTTTCTCAGTCACGTTGAACTTGAGGGGGAATTTGTCCAGGACGTAGCCGGGTAGACTTGTTTGGTTTTGCAGAGACCAGCCACGGCCGAGGACTAGGGTGTTTGGTGGGAGGAGGGTCTTGTCGATGTTTGCAAAGGAGCCCGTTGGGTATTCACTTGTGAGGACGACTAGTATGAGAGGATTAGTTATATGACCTGTCGTGTGTGGGTTACTGGTATACTTACAGATAGGCCCAGTAGCTTGAATCGCATCAATCTCCGTGTCAACACGCCAACCAGTACCGCCACGGTCAATCATCGTCTCGAATGACAGGGTGTAGTTGCTCAAATTGACGACACGAGCAGTAGTAGCAGGCTTCTGCCCACGTATATATGCGCCATTTGAAGTGATCTCCCAAGTAGAAGTTTGAGATTCGGGTGGAAAGCAGACCAGTTGCTGGGTGCGGGGACCCAGCGCCCAAATATAAGTGTAGGTCGAGTTGCTAGACGCGAAATATCCGGGCATGGAGCTCAGCTTTTAGGTAAATTAGTATAGCTTCATAGAAATTGCTCTAGGTTGGTGACATACCGGGCTCTGGTCAACGGAAGAAACAAATCCAGCACGTTGAATAACCAACTTCTTCCCGCTGATCAACTTGATCGACTGCCACCGCTGGGATCCCTGAATGAAATAACCGGATAGATCTCCAGTCTTGGTAATATTGAAAGTCTCGACTCGAAAAGTAGCACCCAAAGCGTTTGCAAATGCAAATGGACCGTCTCCTTCGGCCTTCAAAAGACCTCTGTCGACATCATCTGTTAACAAGGAACCCAGGACAAATAAAGATTACAGTATACAACTTACGGGAAAGCTTCGGTGTACTTGACCTCAATCTGAGGATTGCCTTCGGCAACTTGAATGTGGAAAATCGGTTTTCCAGCTACATCGCTTCCGTAGTCCACTGCTCCGAAGATTAGAGTTTCATCACACAATAGAGCAAAAACCAATCTTCAACAAGACTCTGTAGATACTTACGGGTATAAGTGTCTCCAATGCTCTGGAAAACCAACGCACTATCACTATTCGCACTATTATTGGCAAAACCACTGCTCAATCCCTTCCTAACGGAACTGGGATAAACATATACTGGACCGTTGGTAGATGCGACGCTTTGAGGTTTCGGAATTGCTGGCCAGGGAACGTTACTTTGCGCTGCTCCCAAGGCACCAACGCCCAAGGAGAGCCACGAAGCAAGCTCAATTCCAACCCTCATCACGAATGAACTTGTACGTACACAAATTTCCTCCGAATTGAGTGAGCTACAGCTCTTTTATGGAGCAATTCGGAAATGTGGGCAGCGGGGTGTAGCTTCCCCACAGACAAAGTGGGCGCGAGGTTTTGCCGACGTTTAACCAAGGATCCACACTATCAGGGGCAACTGGGGTGAGTTTACGGGGGAGTGAGTTTAGGCAAATGCCGAGCAGCCATTGAAACGAGAATTGAATTGACTAGGTTCACTAACTACATAGACTCATCGCTTCCACTCCTTTTCAGTCCAGTGTATTTCAAGACTGGAAAGTACCACTCAACCAAGCTGGTCTAGTAACGGACGCTGCGATTAGGAATTAGATGGGGAGTATGATTAGATGGGACCGGTGGAAGTTGTGAGACGCAAATGGAAGGGAGGAAACGGGCAATGGTGAAGTTGACGACACGAGATGAATGGAAGTGGTTATGTGGTTTTCAGAAAGAATGCGGGAAATCGAGAATCAACAACAGGACAATCAGATAGACAAAGAGAGATCAAGGAAAGTAAGAGCAGCGGTTTAAAAGAAAGACACTGACAGGCCGAGCAAGACCAGGCTCGGCGGGGAGAATGGTATGTTGTGTAATGAGACGGAAGCGAGTGTGAGTATTTGGATGTGAGAATCGACAATAAAACGAGAAATGCGATGGAAGCTTTTGCAGGGCTGGAACGCAGCAATGCTAGATGAGTGACTAAAAAACTGGCAAGTTAAGGTAGAGAAAGACAGTAAGATCTGACAAATCTGAGGGTCAAGGTGAGTTGGGAACAGTGTCCAGAACGCGAGCCATCCTTTTTGCGCGAACAGGATCCTCGACTACCATGCCGCGGCTCTTCATCATCATGTAGACAGTGTCGACGACCTTGTTGAAGGAAGAAGCGGCTCCGCGTTGCTGTTTGAACCGGACAAGGCTCAAGTTGGATTGGCGGCCATGTTCGAGCACAGTGTAGAACTCTGCGATGAATTCAACCTCCCGGAGACGGAGGACTAGCGTTTCGTCAGCATTGCACAATCTTAAATAAGGGATCAGAACTTACAGTTCACTTCGCTGACTTGACCATGGACAACACTGTTGCTCTTGTCCATGTATACATTCTCCATACCATACTCCTTCCACTCACGCAGCATTTTGTAGACCTCCTTACGGCCCTTCACTTTGGACGTATTCAAAGCAATCACTCGAGAAGCTGGCTTTATCTGGAACACACGGGCGAACCAGTTTTGACTGGCGAGCGAGAGACGCTTGTTTCGTGGAGGATTGTTGGCGTTAGCTGAGTCGAAGGAGCTCTCTGTGTCCGGGAGTCCGTTGCAGAGCATTGCGGAATTTCGAATATCCTTGGGCCGGGGCTTCTCAATGTCTTCATAGCCTGTCAGCATCATGTGCCTGTATGGGATGCAGCTGAACATACCCGTCTCAGGTTGGGACAGGGACCTGTGGGACTTCTTCGGCATAAGCTTCTTCAGGAAGCCGCCGCCGAAGCGTTCCATAGATGACTTGCGAGTCATCACCTTATGCTCATCGGGAACCCTGATCGGTAATGGAGCATCTGGTTGAGACAGGTCCTGCGGGGGATTAACGATCACTGTCCCACTACCCGGATTGACGGGCTTGATATCCTTGGGCGGCAGAGAGGGCGGGTTGTCAGGGACCTGCGAGCGGTGTTTGAACCACGACCACTTTTTACCATCAGTTGTTCTCTTCGGGGAGACCGGGACTTCCTCAATTGGATCCAGCCCACCAAGAGGGCGACTTTGGCGGGAACTCTGGGAGAAGTTCCGAGTAGCCTCTGCGGAATCGCTATTGATAGCGTCGGAATCACTAATCTGAATTTTCTTGCGAATCATCAGTGGCTTGACTTCTTCAAGCGATCTCAATGAGCTGTGGGGGACCATTCTGATAGTCGCTTTGGCGTCATTGGCACGGTGCGCTGTAGCGACTTGTGGCTTCTTCTGCAGCTTCGGCATGGGACTGTATTGGCTAGGAGCCCGGACAGGGCTTGCGAATTCTTCGTTAATCACAGGCAGAGACATGTCTTCGGTTCCCCCATTAAAAGGATCCACGAGCGTCGATGTGCTTTCCTCCATCTTGCGCCGCGATGGATCCTGGTCCTCTTTAATCAAACGGTCGAGGTGACCAATGACTCCAGACAAGTATACCGGGATATTGTCACTATGACCTTTGCTGTGTTCGACCAGTTTCCGACGAGTCTCGGTAAGCTCTTGGATGCTGTAGGCTCGACCCGATTCATTGGGTGTTTCCTTCGGAGGTGCCAAGGCTTGCGTCGCTGGAGTCGTTGATTGTTGCTCTGGACTTGAAACTGACACTGGGGTTGCTGGCGTTTCATATCCTGTTGCGGAACTGGAAACACGCATTGTAGTAAAAGAGCTACCATTAAATGCTTCCTCACAAATCTTGCTGAGCTCATTGGATACCTTGCGAGCATCTTCCGACCAGATAATGTCGGACCGGTAACCCTTCCTCTCGCTCTTTAGGGTCTTAGCCTTAGCACCGCTAGGTCGGACAACAGTCGGCTGGGCTGGCAGAGGAGGGCTGCTCGGAATGTCAGGCACAGCGAACCCATCTCCCATCATTTGCAGGCTGGCTGCACTGGGAGAACGCTTGAGATCAGAGTACTGGTTGGCGCCGGTTCTTCTCCGCTTTGGCTTGGTAGATCCCGGCGAGCGATTGCGAACGTGGTGGAATAAAACATTGCGCCTATAGCTGGTGGAGCGGGTGGACAGACCAGGATATCGCGAGCTAGAATGTGGCACTCTGGACAATTGGAAAGACTTCATCGAGCTAGGTTTATGCTTGCGCTTTTGGAGAACAGTGAAGGGCGAGGGCGCCACATCCTGGGTGTCCTCTGGCTCTTCCTCCTCGACGATGGAGGGGGAGGCTTCGCAGTCGGAGTGACTTGTCCTTGCTCTGGGACGACGGGGGCTTTGTGGATCGTGATATGTGCGTACTGCACCTCCTTCGCCGGAGTTCTAACTTTCGGTGATCTGTAAGGATCGTAGCTCTCAATACTTGCACTGGACTTGGACTCTCTAGCTGAGCTCATGCGACTGTGAAGATCCTTGACCAGGGAGATCTGAGATCGCTTCTTAGACGAACTCCGTCCCCGACGGACCCAGTCTCCAGGCCGGGAGATGTGGTGGTAATCACTGGCTGAGTACTCCAATGGTTGTCCTTGATAATTTTCGAGCTGCTCATCTCGGAATTTCACCAGAGCATTGTAGAACATCCGCTCATGAGTTGGCCTGCGGCTGCTGTGAATATTGGATGAAACACTGAAAAATGAACTGGAATAACTTACTCAAGAGACATCAGTCGTTCAGTCAATATATCAGGCTTTACGTCATGCCACAATGTCTGGAGGTTCCGTAAAATGTCCAAGTCCACCTCTTGACGAGAAGTTACCGGAGCTCCACAATCCTTGATGGACAATGGAGGAGGGGGCCCAATGTAGTAGTCAGCCATCGCATTGTGAAGCTTCTCATACTTGGTGAGTAGTGGGTGCAGCCAAATTGCTTGCATCGTGATGCGGTCCTCCGGTCGCTTCTGTAGAATCCGCTGGATAAGATTGGCAGCCTCGTCGCTCAGCTCGGGAGGAATCATATAGTCACCCTTCTTGACCAGGCGGAGCGTCTTTGGCAGGTCACCACCATCGAATGGAAGATAACCAGTCAGGAGTGCGTACAGAATGATTCCACAGCTCCACATATCAGCCCTGTCACCACGATATTTGCGTCCGTAGATAATCTCTGGTGCTGCGTAATGTGGACTCCCGCAAGAGGTATTCAGCCAGTGTCCCGCCGGCTGAAGCGCAGCCATACCGAAATCGGCGAGCTTGACGTTGTGGTTTCCATCTAGGAGAATATTCTCGGGCTTCAAGTCACGGTGGCAGATATTGAATCGATGGCAGTAGCCAAGTCCAGCGATGATTTGGCGGAACAGACGCACAGCCTCTTCTTCCGGTAGAGGTCCATTGTTGGAGACATAATCGAAAAGCTCGCCACCCTCCACGTACTCTAGAACAAGATACCTGGAATCAATTAGTATTTAGGTTTGAAGAAGATCACGGTATCTCAAAAGGGGGTACACACAGCTCTCCACGATTCTCCCACACATCGTACAAGCTGATTACATTGGGATGTTCAATCAATTTCATGATAACCACTTCCCGTTCAATACCACAAGGCATCTGTCGTGTATTTGAGACACCTGTGAATGTGCTCGCAGTTCGGTCCATTGCCGCAATACTTTCGCTCTGCACCATGGCTGCAGACTTCTTGGAGACGATTTTGATAGCAGCAGTCTGTCCAGTTAATGCATGCTTGGCAAGTCTCACGCGTCCGGTAGCCCCTTTGCCCAAGGTACGCCCTAATTGCCATGGTCCGACATGGGTCTTTCTCTTGCCCTTGTTGGATAGAATCGATGTAGCAGATACCACCGAGTTCCGGGCGGATTCGGACTGGAAATCTGTAGCTACCGAACGTCGTCGGTTCTCTTTGTTGTCTCGGGGAGTCGAGATCGTGACGACGGACATACGGTCCGGTGTTTTGAGGTGGTCCAGGTTCTCAACATACACACGAGGGGTCTCGAAATTGGCGACTTTGGCGTGGTTAATTCGGCTGGAAGCGTCAGTCAATGGCTGACGCCTGCGATGAGAGTCGGACTGATCCGACATGGCCTGGTCCATTGCTCTCAAAGGTGATGTGAGATATTGTACACCAGGCACATCAATGTTGGGTTGTTGTTGTTGTTGTTGTGGTTGTTGTGGTTGTTGTTGTTGTTTTGGGATGGGGCTGTTGTTGTTTGGGGGATGGTTGAACTATACTCTGTTAGCCTCAAGTTCGCGTATCGCGTTCGCGCCTTCCATGGTAAACAAGACGCACCCGATGAGGTTTAGAATAGTGAAAGCAAACACTCGCTTGGAGCGTGGTTCAAAAGGCAAGATTAAGAGAGGGGGTAATGAACGACTCCAGCAGTCTCTGGGAAAACAGTAATGAGTGACGGGATGACTGGCTAACACAACATGGTAAAGTTTAGTCGGCGAAACCAAAGGCAGTAGTCGGGGCAGGTTGATGGCCCGATACGATGAGGGCAGTCGACACGAAGGTGAGAAAGTCAGGTAAGCAGTCAGTGTTTCTCAGGGTGACGGAATCAAAAGAGAAGAGGTCAAGGGGAGTTTGGGGGGTTGTGTGGTCGTGGCATGCCTCAGCACGACTGTTGTGGAATGGAGAAAAGAGGAGATACCGTCTGATCGAGATGGAATGCCCCAAATTCACCAGTCTCGGGCTGCTTGCTTTCCCAACTCTACTTTTCCTTTCAAATGACCTATTTCAGTCAAATCTGCGCCCATATAATTTTTTTCTCGGTTTAATACCTATCTGGTATATAGTCATATCCAACTGGGGTGGTGTTTGAGGGGATTGACATGGTAGTTGGCGTATACTTCATGTTGGATGTTTACCTCCTCCGTCAGCCGTTTGTTCCCCACCATCACCAGCTACGCAAAACTAATTTCAGCGGATCGACGATGCCTCCACCGGCCAAAGACCACCCTATAGACAATGTCACTCATAATAATCATCGCTGTTTTAGCTCTTGTTTGGACCGGAGAAAGACAGCCGAGGAGAATACATTCCAAGTCGACCGTAGGGGGGAACTAAATGCTTATCGGGCAGGTTTATCGCAGTGTCCCGTCCGCCAAGGGGCCAACCCACATTACCATCGACATTCCACCTCCCTACAGTCCTTGTCGAATCTAAATGTGAGCTCATCTTGCTTCTTCGGGTCTGCAAAAACACTTGTTTCGTCCAAGTTTTGACACCTCGGGCAACATGGAGGGTGGCATACGCCATCTGGTCGCCCAGCGCCACGAACGCCATAAAGTTCTGTCAACAAGACCTGACAAATTTCCATCCCTGGACAAGTTCATACAGTAGTATCATTGAGTCGTTTTCTTTATCCAGGGACTGATAGAGAGACTATTTTGTTAATGAAACAATTTCGTCTGGATGGCAGTTCTTACCTTTTATGTTCGGACTCTGCGCATTGGTCGAATGTCCCCTTTTAAATTGTAGACTTCACGCTGGGAACATTAAAGTGCGAGAAAACATATTATGAAGCGATGGACTAGTGGCAATTGCTATCAATCAGGCCGGAGGATCTCACTGTATGACAGTTCCAAAATCTTGTATATGCCCAAAATCGCTACCGACTTTCTGGTATGGTCAGAAGTACACGAGGGACATGTTAACGTAATTCCTGGCCAACCTGGCCACCCCAAAGCACTATACTCTAACGCGAATTTTCAGGTTGTAGTATACAAACAACGAGGAGGGATTTTTGCTTGATATTTAGTATACTTTAATTTCTCAGTATGAGGAATCATATAGGTTAACTGAAGTATCTCAAAAATAATTATTTACTTCCAACACCAAAAACACGTTCTCGGCAACAAACACAAATATATATCGGCTACTTATCAAACCTTCAAAACATTTTTTCAATCTAATAAAAGCATTTACTATAATATATTAAGCACTAAGATATCTTGAAACCATATTCTCAGTCTTGGTTGTTGAATTATGAAGTTATAAAATATTCTCGATTATCCCAAGCTAGGGCGTTTATATTTTCTTGGTAATTTTCCATGTAGATTCCCAGTTGGTCTTGGGGACTAATGATTCTCCTGTGAAACCAGGTTTCCAATAGTATTGAAGTAAATAAAAAATATACTCAATCATTATTTCCATCAAATAATCTAACTTTCTGTGCCCTATAACGTTATTTCTTCAAGATCCTACTACCAAGGTCAATGGCGGACGGGAAAAATAACAGTCACTTTATGGTTCGAGAAACGACCCATCACGCACCCTCAATCTCTCCGAAGCCTAGTCAGCCTTTCTTCCGTACACGTAATCTAGCGAATCAAAAGTTTATCCTTACTGCTTGAGTATAAGATAGCTCCTATGCCCCGTACCATGAGTAGCCCTGCCCTTCACCACTGATTACCCAATATGGTTGTCCAATATACATCATCCAAGCTCCATCATAAAGGATTCAAGTTTTACAACTGGCCTGGGCCGGGTGAAGCTGCTACTGAGCAGTTTCCCTTTCTCATGCCGTGGTTGTGCCTTTGAATTCACGCCGCATAATAGGTGGGAATCCGAGACGATGGCTCGATACCAAGTAATGTCATCGAAGAGGTTGACGTCGCATTCAATCACGTCAAACAAGCACTTGAAGCTGCCGGGCTTGGGGACGACGCTTGGAAATATGTGTACAAAGTACGGCTAAAACCTCCCTTTTATACTTTGGAATACCAATCATGGCTAATGAAATGATCTAGATCAACACTTACGAGATTCCTACAGAAGGGCTGCATGAAGGAGTTGGCTTCGCGGTGGCCAAATACCTAAAGACCACACGTCCCGCCTCGACAGGAGTGCAGGTTGCCGGGCTTATTTTGCCACAATTGCACCTGGAGATCGAAGTCGAGGCATTTCTTCCGATATAGTTCTGTGAACCATCCTTTCATATTGGACCTGCGATGTCATGCACATCCGTTTGGGCTTGACTCGGATTGAGATGGGAGGTAAACCTTTCTGGATTGAAACAGTGATATGCGTAGAAACGAAGCAAAAAGTACGCAGTCATTGGTTTATCTAGATCAATTAATGCGTAAGATACTATGCATTCAGACCAATCAATTGGTATCTTGTTCAAATCGATAGATCATACACTGCCTTAACTTGATATCACCATATGAATCAGTCGATCATGCAAAACAATCGGAGACAACTCTGAACCAAAATAAATAATTTAACATTTACTAGTTGCAAATTAGCAGATATCACATGTACGTCAAGTAAACCAGCATCTAAGTCCCGACTTTGACCCAGCGGCCAAGTTCAAGCAAAACAGATCTGCGGAAAGTGGAAATCAACAGTGAATGCCATACTCCCCGCGATTGTTCGAGTATAAAGAACAGATAAAATGTCACAATTAATCCACAAATAGGGTATATTGAGTATTCTCTAGATGTCCTTATTGTCCAAGTGGTGAAGCTTCGCATTGAGACTCAGTAGGTTTTCGAGTTCTCAAGATTTCGGCAGGATTACCGAGTTTGACTGGTGAAGGCGTTTTAAAATGGATCTCATTTGAGTCGCCCGTCAAAGACGATTTGAACATTAAATTATCTACCAACGGTAACATATCCTAAAAAGAAGTTTCTACTCACATATCGCCTTCTGCTCTTTACTCTGAATTCTTTCTCCATAGTAGCCGCCAGGCTATTGGAACCCACCATTTTCTGATTACTTTGAAAAGGAAAAGAAATACCAACATCAGCCTATGTTATTAAATATTTTTCAAGCTCACGAGAACACATAATTGACGTTAAGGCCAAAAGAGATTCGGGATCTAAAAGGCGGGCGCGCTAAATGTGCCGAATTCGCCAGTGTTCCTTTAGCGTCCGGCCTTTGCGCCCGAAAAAGACCAGGGATTACTTATTTAGTTCTGTGGCAAGTCCCGAACAGGCATACTGGAATGAATTAGTCTGTGGATTCGTAATAGTGGATAGGGAGGCGCGGAGTTTGTATTGACATTGGACAGACTAGTCAAACCGCAACCTGAACTAGGTAGTGCCTTTGATATTGTGAGATATAGGGCAAGATGCCGATAGGCAAAGACGCCTAAGCCGTTAGGCTGCATATCAAGCTAGATTCATAAGGCCTATACCAAGGCCAGAACGATGTTCTGAATCTCTATAAGCTTTATGCTATCATATCATCATTATCCAATCGGATAATCAGGCATGAACAGACGCATCATAGTCATGCGATCTACATCATCATTACGATTGAATTACATCGTACAATCAAGCAACTGCAAGTCAAACGGCTACTTCATGAGATCACTATGCATCTAGATCGGACTTAACGCACAAGGCTGGCTGTACGAAGTACTTTTGTCATTTCGGGCCAGCTTCCATACCCTCCCGATAACCATCTGGACTCTGCCTCTCCTTATCTTACCCTCATAACACTACAAGCAATAGTTAGCACCCTAGCCATGGCCGATATCAAACCTCCTTTCAACGAAGAGACGGCCAAGAAAAAGGTCAAGGCCGCTCAGAACATGTGGAACACGCAGTGAGTTGTGATTACATTTCCCTCACCTGAATCTCTACCAGAAGCCAGAGAAAGAACCCATGTGGCTGCAGGAAGGGCGTCGAGGGACTCATCCCTTGCATTCTTCTCATCTCCAATGTTTGTCCGTGCGAGATCCTGCACACATGCAAGCACGCAATTCGGGTTCCTACTCGCTCATGATCATCTTTTCCTTCGTGGATCTCAATTCATAAAGGCCCTTGAAGTCACATGGAGATGACGTAGCATATTTCCCGCTCAAACACGCACTCCAACTAACCATGCAAAAGAGATCCCCAGCGAGTCGCGCAATCCTACACGCCAACTTGCATCTGGCGTAACCGTACCTTCTTCTTCTCGGGCACAGACGCCATTGTCGAATTTCTGACAGCCAAATGGAAGCGCGAACGCAACTATCGACTGCGCAAGGAGCTGTTCGCTTTCCGGGACGATCGGATCGCGGTTCAATTCTGGTATGAGTATCAAGATGCGGATGATGGGATGCGATGGAAGAGATGCTATGGTCTGGAGGATTGGACTTTTGATCGTGAGACGGGGAAGATGTGCAAGCGTATGATGAGTGGGAATGATCTGCTTCTCGGCCCGGACGGGAATGGCGAGGGGCGCTGGTTTGTTGACGGGGTGGATGTAGATGAGGTCGCGATCGGTCAAGAACATTGGTGAAGAGTTAAACTGATTATTGAGGATTTAGTTAGTCGAGATATGTCTCCAATTCTGATCCTATTTTTTATTTTTCCAATAGATGTCAATTCCACCGTTACAGTAGCATCCTGAGACAAGGTTGCCAGCCACCCAGTCCAGATATATTGTAGAGTACGGGCGCCAGCAAGTCCCCGAGGTCCCGTCATGTCTAGGTAGGTACTTCCATTCTACCGGGCAACACGTTAATACTGTAAGACTATAAGTACGAAGAATGTTCAAAGAGTCGTCTCCTCTTGGCATTTTAACCAAAAGTTCTGCTGCACAATATCATCAACAGACGCAGATGTGTAATTCTCATTTTTCGCATGTCCTTAAAGAGGCGTGTGCTGCGAGAGCGCGAAAGACACTCTAAGCCGAGTCGCCCTTAATATTGAATGAGATGTCCCCAGAAAGCAGACCTTGTCGAACAGATGATGCCATTCTTTTCATTTGCCGCGCTCTACACCTCCAGCGGTGGAGCGTCTGTGCAGAGTGTGGCCATCATACTATAGGCACGACTAGTCAACAACCCGTAGTCCACAACCTCATAAAGGACAAACTTACGTGGCATGGTACTGAGTACCCTTGATATCAATTCGCTCCACCAGGCTCCGAATCTCTCGCACTTCTTGTTCGCTCAATTGAAGAAGCGCCGAGGCCGCATTTTCATCCATCCTAGCAGTCGACTTCGTACCAGGGATGGGAACAATATCCGGCCCCTGCGCCAACAGCCACGCAAGAGCAACCTGTGCGGGAGTACAGTCATGAGAGTTGGCCACATCCTGCAGGCCTCGTACCAACTTTCGAATCTGGGGGAAGTTTTCCTCCGAGTACTTGGGTAATATGCGACGCAAGTCACCAGCGGGAATGTCTTCGTGGGATTGAAATTGACCCGACAGAATACCTCGTCCAATAGGGCTATAGGCCACGATAGATACACCTAGCTCACGGCAGGTTCTCAGAATATCCGAGGTGGAAGATTCGATCTCGAGTCTAAAGAGGCTGTATTCCATCTGAAGGGCCGTGATAGGGTGGACAGCATGTGCCCGACCCAGCGTAGCCGTCGAGACCCCTGACAGGCCTAAATACCGAATTTTGCCTTGGCTTCAAAGTATAGAGGGTCAGACATGGTCAAGCCACGGTCAGTCTGAGAATGCCAAACCTTACTTCTTCAATTCCACCATAGCTCGTATGGTCTTCTCAATAGGTGTGACACCATCCACCCGATGGCAGTAGTAAAGGTCAATAGTGTCTACTCCAAGTCTCTGGAGGCTCCTTTCACAAGCAGTCTTGATGTACTCGGGATCAGACCGAAACGTGAATGGTCCTTCACCTTGACGTAGGAGGCCAAACTTGGTACACAAGAAGATATCATCGCGCTTGCCACATCGCTTGATCCACTCTCCGACGACGTCCTCGCTGTCGCCGTAGATATCAGCCATATCCCAGAAATGGAGTCCTGTGGCATGTGCGTGTTCTAGACGGGCCACTTTCTCTTCAAGAGTGCCAGCTGGTCCATAGGATCCGGCGATACTCCCAAAACCCAGACCGATGGCCGAGACCTCCGGGCCATCTCTGCCGAGGACTCGCTGGGGAGGAGGCATGGTGAAGTGCTAGATGGGTAGAAGGAAGACGAGATAGTCAAAGAAACCTGCCGGCTTTCAGAGCAATCATTTAACACTATTTAAATGTCCATGAGCCCCTATATTGTTGGATCCATGGCAAATGCTGACCCCAATAAATCGTTACCTCTTATTGTCGGATTCACCCAGGAGCTATACCCGTTTAGTTTCCCGACAGTTGATCCGTGCAAGAAAAAGGCAAGCCATTATTCAGGCGGACAACATAGCCCGTTAAAAATAGCATGCAGTTCTTGGTGATTTATATAGGAGCCAGCATGGCAGGATCAAGATATATTGAATGTCTCACAAAGCGACACGAGAAAGTGCTTGGGAAAATAAGGAGGACATACAAATAGGGACGGCTTGGGAGCCTGATACTTCAGGCCCCAACAGGCCCCAACAGGCCCCAACAGGACTGGAACCCGCATTTAAGTGTTGCACTTTTTTGAGATCTCTTGGCATCATGCAATATACAAGTGTTCCTCTCAAATATGCTTATCTCATCATCATTCACTTAGGTTGATATCTGACCCTAGATATCTATAAGTATCAATTAATGGATTCTGGGAAATGGCTAGCCATATAACATCCCTCTGACAAGTGAGGGGCATCGGAAGGGCAGCCGGCGGAGAGGCTTATCAGTAGAGAGGTCCGTGTGGAAGGACCGGCATCCCTCCCGTAGGGCCGATGGGGATGCGCCATGAACAGCTTGCCGTGTGATCACCCACGCGCTATCGAAGATCTGGGGTTCGAATCCGCTGCCTATGGAGAGAGGGGGCCCTTATCCAACCACTGATGGTAGACCTTATGCTTGAATCTGACTCTGTGGACGGACTATCTCCGAAACGCGCAACGGAATGTACGGAGTAGTAATATCTGTATGATAAGATACTAGAATTAACAGTATCATCGAGATAGCATTAGGACACTCTAATTAGCTGTTTGAAAGAAGATTGTGCCTGTATATGCAAGTCTTCCTTTGTTCTGGCTGAGCGCAATAGATCGCACGAAAGCACAAGGATCATTCTACTAACTCAGAGCAAACAAGTACATGCTCTTTCAAACATAAATTATATTTTCACTAACTTCTAGAATGTCAGTCAATTGATGTACCCCGACTGAACTGCATACTCACCGGTGGCAATAGTTTCCTTATCTTATAGGAAGCCTACGATTATTCGCCCCCCTTCCGTTCTCTCATTAAACCTCGAGGACCCAAAGACAAAACCGGGCGGCTCCACCGGCCAGATTCCCCCGCATTTTCACTCAAATTGATAATTCCGCGTTCCCGGCTTCAACGGCATCACATCCGGCCTTTACAATCAATCGCGAATTATGGCGGGGACCGGTCCGCGAGTTGCGAAACGATCTTTGAATGCGTATGTTGCTATCTTGTCATTGGGGATATTGACGCATGATTGGAAATGCTAACATGACTTGGATCGGTCCATAGCTGCACTCGATGTCGCAGGCAGAAGATCAAGTGTTCTGGATCCCAACCTTGCGATGGCTGCAATAAGCGCAAGCTTACCTGCATCTTTGATGATCGTGATCAGAAGATTCTAGTCACCAGAGGGTATGTGCCTGATGATCTAGCTCAAAGAGACCGAGAGCACTGTGACCAACCAAACCCGGTGCAGGTATATCGATGAATTGCTGCAGAAGATTGCCTCTTTCCAACGAAGCGACCGTGTGAATCCTAGTCCTCTAAGTCCGGAGTATGCAGAGGATAGATCCCCCGTTAGTTTCATACCCTGGCTCCTTGAGATCGCTTGTCCTGCTAATGTTGATGGTACGTTGCAGATCCCAAAGACCAAAACGATGAATCAGATATTGCCAAGTCTTCACCCAACGACCACGAAGACCTCCACCATGAGCTGGAGGATCCTGCATCGGGACTAACGAATCCTCTCTCCACTGGACCTCCCGCATTCATGTCCGCAGAGAATGGAAGAACATGTACGTTGGTACCTCGCCGCGGCAACCTGGGTCAATCTAACGGCGCTTGCTAGTTTACCTAGGAACCTCCTCCAACTGGTCCTTTACCCGCCGAGTCCTCAGCCTAACGCATGAACACATCTATCAAGAAGCTCTCCCAACAGGAGCTTTGCTATTTGATGGTACAACCTATGACCTCGGCTGGGACGGCTTGCGCAGGCCTCATGATCCAGAGATTCCTGCCGTCCCCACCTTCGACCACGCACTCTACCTGATAAATGTCGTCAAGTTTCGCTGCGGACAGCTCTACCATCTCTTCGATGAAAATGACTTTATGAGCAATTTGCACGAGTTTTACTCGGGACCCCAGCCGAATGCTACGGCAGGGCTGTGGTATATCCACTTCCTTTTGATCCTGGCCTTTGGCAAAGGCTTCGTTCAGCATAAATCGCAGGGCAGTAAACCAGCTGGCGCAGAATACTTTGTAAAAGCACTTCAATTACTTCCCGATGTTAGCGTCCTTCACCAAGAGCCCATCGAGTCGACAGAGATCTTGTGCTGCGTGGCGTTGTACCTGCAAGCATTGGACTATCGTTCTTCCGCTCATAACTACGTAAGTCATTGATCTATTTAGTGATACCACTTACCAGCTTGCTAAAAGTCATTGTCAATAGATTGGACAAGCCATGAGAATGGCTATGGCCGAAGGTCTTCATACTCAAATGCCGATCGAGTACCTCGGAGAAAGCTTTGTGCAAAGGTGTCGCAAGATCTGGTGGACCGTATACATCATGGATCGTGAAATGACTTCACTCATGGGGTTACCTCAGTCTCTGAATGACGATCATGTGAATGCTCTTCTGCCCACATTTCCAGGCGCCGGGCAGAAGACTGCTGGGATCGGCATGCAAATCAAAATGTCCCGAATCATTGCCGAAATCAATAGTAGTCAGTTTTTACAAGTATACCAAAGCCACCCAGTGATCAAACTAACTATCATCAACAGCTGTCTATGCGATTGACGGCCGTTTGAACCGGAATTTCCTGCTTCGAACTAAGACTGCCTTGGCAAGCGTTGCCCGTCTAGCCGATGAACTGCAAGATAGTTTCCCATTACAGGCGGAGCGATCGACAAATGGAGTCTCCAGAACATCCGCATACCTTCACCTACTATACCACCAGTGCATCGTGCTTGCAACCCGACCACTTCTTTTCTGCTTCTTGAAGATCCGCTTTGAATCACCACAACATTACACGGATGCCTTGAACACTTCTCGCAACGTTCGAAACTTGATCCAAATGTGTATGGAATCTTCTCAGCAGATCATCAGTATTCTGCGTAGCCTTCAATCGGAAGGCTTACTTGGTAAGTTCTGCGCTACTTGCTATTGACTTTGACAAATTCTAGAGACTTGATCAGCTAACCATTTCCCCAGAAACATTCCTCTCCTTTGACCTTGATTCCATCTTCGTCTCAACCGTAGTCCTCCTCATCGGACCCGCCATCGACATCCGCTGGAACTATCCACTCTGGGTTGATAAAGCATACACAATCTTCGAAGACATCATCGAAAACGGAAACCTGATTGCCAAGTTTCGGCGCTCCGAGCTGCAGCTCTTAGATGAGCTGCTAAGCTGTTTCCCTGAAGACCAGCCCAGGCGTCTCTCAGCACCGGTATCCTACCCGAACAATGTCCTCAACCAGTCACATGGGGATTTGGCAAACTCGTTCCCACCTTCTTCGCATATTATCAGCCATGATTTGTTGTCTGATCCTGGCGTTGGGATGGGAGATGATAACGCTTTTACGAGCGGGTGGACGGCCGCGCAGATTATGGCTGTGGCGGATAGTATTGAGGGGATTGATACGGAGTGGATGTCTAACGCGATGATCGAACATAGTATTTGGTAGATATGATATTACGCTGATTAATGAATGATGATATCTGAATTGAAACCTTCTTGATTGTACGAATAACCTCGGATCATTTCACATGCTAGCATTCGTAGTATATCGCCGGTCAGTGTGAATCCCTCCACCCACTGTGAACATGCGCTAAGAAGCAGTAGTTTCCAATATGATCCAAACAACTGCAATGCAAAACTGTGCGAATCACACATACTATCGAGTACCTTCGCACACGCCCTATTTAAAAGAAATTCGGCCACCCATCATCCTTGCACGCCTGACAAGGACCCGCGACCGTACAATTTCGCGGATCAAAGTATTTGACGTATTTGTGCCAAGTCATCGAGAAAGGCTTCAACCGGGTCTCTTCTACGATTATACAAGGCTGCTGATTATGCCGACGGATGGCTTCGGCGCATTTCTGGACGCCGGCCACGAAGATGTGACCGCAGCCGAATTGGTTGGAATGATCCAAGATCGCTAGGAGACACATCTGGGGATTGATTAGTTTTATCTTTGATTTAGTTGTAGTGGTTGAGGATTTACCTTGGATGTGAATTTTACGGTCAGTTATATCAGAAGAACGCTGTAATGTCAGCTTGTTTTCGGTATTGTTCAAGGGTTCGAAGGGGACTTCTGCGGTTGGGGAGTTGCTGGTTCTGGTTTTAGGTGGTCATTGTGAATATCTTCCTAGAGAGCGTAGTCTTATCTTATATTACAGAAGAAGAGCTTTGTATGACTGCTTGCATGTGGACTACAAAGCAGATTATCATATGTTGTCGCCTGATCCATAACACTAGACAAAGAACTCGAGGGCAAAAGCCTGATGTCAGAGAGACAATGGACAAAGCTAAGTGACGACGCCCTATTCTTCAATGAAAGAATTTAGCGTTTTCCCGTTACTCGTTTAACTGGATTCTTTGTTCAATAGGAAGAGATGTTCACGTGAGTCTTTGACTGAAGTTAATACAAAACAAAGTAACAAGGATCTATATTTAGGTCATCTTGACCTCGAAAAGAAGAAATGCAAATTCTATTCAATGGTTTGAGGTAATTACTATTATGACGATCTATTTACAACTTCGAGGCCTTAGGAGGCATGATTGCAGATAACTCCTTGGATTCTCCAAGACGCCAGCTTACATCACCTCCCCAATCCTTTCCAACCTTGGGATCAGGTTGCTTCCACCGCCAGCGTGCCAGGGCCTGCTTATTGTCGGGTGCTTCCAGAAGATCCGTCACCCAGGAACCCGCGATGGGGAACATCTTGAACAGGTGGCCCGAATCACCCGACAAAAGCATTAGAGAGGATTCCAGGTTCGGCACGTAATCAATGATGAAATCGGAGTCGTTCGTGTCGGCGAACCAGCAAAGCGATTTCTTGACGAGAGGTCGGTCGGCCAGATATGGAAGGGTGTGAGCCAGAAGTTTCCTCATCTGCTTCTCGTCCTCCTCCGGGACGAAGGCACTTTCGCTCAGCGACTTTGGGGAATGTGACACACCCGTCTTGGGATCGGTATTGATATATCCACCACCCATCGGGCACAACTTCAACAAGTTGGTCTTGGGGTCTGGTTCGAAGAAGAATCCCAAATCGCGGGCGTAAGTCACTGGGATTCCACGGAGACCCGAGGTCTCATCGTCGGTCAGTTGGACATGAGCAACGGACCATGACTTCGCAACAACCTGCTGTCCAATCTGAGGAACCACACGACCCGCGTTCGCGCCAGCAGCAACAATGACGAGAGCCGACGAGTGGAATCGGCCATTCTTTGTTCGGATACCGGCGCACTTGCGTCCACTCACGGTGCTGACGTAGACAATCTCGTCCACGGTGCCTTGCTCGCCGAGGAAGAATCGTACTCCGGCAGCCTGCGCGGCGCGGTAGATCCCAGCCAGGGCGTTACCGGAATGGGCATATCCATCGAAGCGATTGAAGTACCCCTTCCAACCTGGAAGCGGCCCGTCCAGCTGCCAGCAGGTCTGACGAATGTCTTCTTCACCGTCTAGAGGCGAGACATGGGGTTTGATCAGTGCATTGCGCTCAGCTGAAGCGCGGAATCTGTCCAGTGTATCGATCGCTTTTTGAGGTGCATCTCCAGATACACAGTGGAGGAAGCCGGTCTGGTGGAAATGAGGGGCGAACAGGGGAGTCTTCCATGCGGCAATTGCTTTCTAAACGAAGCCAACATTGATTAGGATCCTTTGCCAGGTTTTACTTAGCGTGCAAACACAATCGGGTATACATACAATCGTCAAGTCGGTATAGAACGGATCCTCGTATTCAGCGCGAACAATCTTATTCAGATCATTGGCCGCCGAGTAGCGCGGAGGGATATGATCATCTCTCTCGAATACACAAACATTTGTGTATCCTTTCTGCGCGAGATGGTAGGCCGTAGATAGACCAAAAGCACCACCTCCCACAATGAGAATAGCGTCCGACTTGGAAACGCCCATGATGTCGACCCGAGTTTAGAATGTCGCCTGGCGGTGTGCGTAGTATCTGCAATGTCCCGTTGCCGCCCGATGATATTTATGACTTGTGATTGATGCTATATACCCCGCAGTCACGCATCTTGTTTCCCAGGACCGGCATCTTTTGCGACGAGTCGCACGAGTGGCTGATCTGGGCCCATCGTTATCAGCCGGGATGGCCAGCCGAGTGGGTTTGGAGGAGGAGAAATCGCGGGGAGGCGACAGGCTCCACTTGCACTCGGGCACCCTCCCGACGATCGTCCTATCGTGAGGGGGAGCTTGACAGTTGCACGGATATTTTTTACTGGTGTCACTGTGTTATCTCTTCAGGCATTGAGTCTTGTACAGAGAAGAGCTTGAGAGAGTCGGTGTCATCTGATCATAATGACAGCAACAAAGATGGAAACTCTGTGCCTGCTGGGCTGTGGTGAGTGAAGAGCGTAGCAGCTCGCATCCTCACGACTAATCAGTTGGGTATAGGAAATCTGGGCTCGGCCATCTTGAACAGTCTAATCACCACGTCAGAAAGTGATCCCTTGTTCAGTCGATTCATCGCCTGCGTCCGCAGTGAAGCCTCGGAGAAGAAGCTGGCAGGAAAATACCCCCAACACCGGAACCGACTGTCCATCTCTCGCGGCAACAATACTCAAGCCGTGCGCGATTCCGATGTGATCATCTTGGGCGTGGACCCTGCGGACATTGAGAGCGTACTGAAGCAGCCAGGCCTGCCACAGGCGTTGGAGGACAAACTCCTCATCAGCATCGCTGCTGGCTGGACCAGACAAAAGATCGAAGAAACCATCTACGGAAGCGAGACCACCAATGCCAATCAGGCCGGCCGGGCATGGGTGATACGTACGCTCCCAAATATAGCAGCGCAGGTTTCGCAATCCTTGACCGCAATCGAAGTCTCTGAACCCTCCCCACCAGAGTCGTACTTGAAGATCACGACCGAGATTTTCGAGCGCATCGGGCGTGCCGTGCAGATCGAACCACGACTTATGAATGCGACGACGGCTGTAGGAGGATCTACGCCTGCCTTTTTTGCGGTCATTTGCGATGCGCTCATTGATGCGGCCGTGGCGGTTGGCGTGCCGCGGAATCTGGCCCACACGATGATCTTCCAGTCCATGCAAGGAACGGCAACCATGCTCCAGAGTGGTATGCACCCGGCTGTTCTAAGGGACCAAGGCACATCTCCGGAGGGGTGTACTATTGGTGGATTGATGGTGATGGAGGAAGCGGGCGTTCGTGGTCATATTGGACGTGCCCTTCGTGAAGCGGTGACTTTAGCTCGTCTTATGGAGACCACGGAGCATGTGAATGACACTCGGCATTAAGTACATAGTTTGAACTAAAATACTAAAGGACTTTCTATATTGCCCATATAATATCTCAAGTGCTTACTGCATGGTCTTATATCTCTTAACTATAGACTCTCCTTCCTAACATCCGCGATTGACGTCCCTACATCCAATTTCCCATGAAACATGGACCTCAATTCCATATTGGCCAAACATCCAAAGCCAAAAGCAGGAATAATCCGAATACATCGAAACACCGTAGTCGATCCCAAATGCCGCTGAGACTGCACAAGCCGATCTGACAGTGGAACATGATGCTGCCGGATATACAAGTCAAGTGCGAACAAATGCAGCGGCGTCGCGACCAACTGAGTCAACACGGGCACAGTCAACTGCGTAATCACCGGTTTCGCATGCGGATGACTAGTCAAGTCATCTGGTATTGCAGCGGCTAGCCTTGGAGCGAGCGTAAAGGAACCAAAGATGGTAATACTATCGCGAGCAAGGAACATGGCCGTCGCCGCGCGCGCAATACCTCGATTCTGGACGAGCGACTTTCGCACAGGTTCGACATTATCGGGGGCTCTTTGTGTACCAAAGATTTTGGCAAATCGAATATCTTTCCATACCCCCAACGGTACGTTGACGATGGTGGTTGACAGGAATGTGATCATTCCCGTCGCTGGAGCCTTCAGCTCCGTGCCGATGGTGTCGGTCCCATTGGCAACCGCATAGGTAGCGGCGTACAAGGTCCAAATGAGACCAAAAGGCACTTGAAAGACAAATCGCGCGGGGTTCTTGAGGGCAGCAAGTGTATGAGTGCGGAGGCCGCGGATGATGGGTTGGTTGAATGAGGACTTTTCGACGAGGGCTCTGGTTGGTTATTAGTATCGATGTTTGGGAGAAAAACCTAAGGAGATAATGAATGACCTGTCGATGATTGTAATTATCGGTGTGATGAGTGTTGCTGATATCGTTGCTGCACCTATATCTCCAGCTAATCGTCTGGGAAGCGAACTATTCCAACGGTGTTGGCGCTCGACGGGACTTCGCTGCATGGTATTGGGAGATGTATAGATTATTTGGTGATGATGTTCAAGTCAACAAAGTTGCGCGCCAGATTCCTGACATACTGCCCCAAGATTGACATCTATTCTTTTCTTTCTGGGTTCCTTTCCTCGTTTGGTCTCGTGCGTGTCGCTGACAATGTGCCGACATCCTGCGGGGCAGGGCCATCGGGAGGCCTCCCGATGGGGCGAAGTTGGAAACTTTCCATACAATTCTTTTTATTTTACTTCCTTCGCTTTGGACAGCTTCGCTGGCTCCACAGGGCCAGAGCGTCATACCTCAAGAGCTCCAACAACAGAGTACAGCGGGGTATCGCTCGGCAGACATCGGTCCCTGTATCCGATGCCCTTGCCATCGCCGGCCTTGATAAAGCTGGCATCGTCGACAACAATTTCCAATCTGTACACACTTCAGACGTTAGACAGCTTGCACTACAGTCCAAATTGTCGCCATGTCTACCACATCCCTTTTGAACCTGCGCAGCGCGCGGTCGTTTGCGCCTCGTTTGCGGACTCTACCTGCTCGGCCTTTGATCCAGCTTCGAGGCAAAGCGACAGCTCCGTTCCGCCTCCCTGATCCTCGCAATGAACCAAACGTAAGAATGACAGTCTTATCGACGACGAGAAATTCAGTCTAACATTGACACCATTCAGCCACTATACAAGAGAGGCTCCGAGGAGCGCACCAAGCTCGAAGAAGCCCTCTCGAAGCTCCGATCTCAACTGCCCGTCCGCAGCGACATCTACTACGATGGCAAGATCCAACAGAGTCTCAAGTCGTGGGATCAACCACTCCCCGCCGAGCACGCAACCACATTCACCAACTACCCACTCGCCACAAAGGAGCAAACCACGGCTGCCATCAATGCCGCGCTAAAGGCCAAGAAGGAGTGGGAAGAGACGCCCTTCGTGGACAGAGCTGCCATCTTCCTCAAGGCCGCCGAATTGGTGACTACCAAGTATCGGTATGACTTGATTGCGGCTACGATGCTTGGCCAAGGCAAGAATATCTGGCAGGGAGAGATTGATGCTGCGGCTGAGCTGGCGGACTTTTTCCGTCTCAACTGCAACTATGCTGCGGAGATCTTGGAGAGACAGCCTACTCGTGGTAGCGACGGCATGTGGAGGTGAGCAATAAACAAGCTGCCAATAATTGGCACCTCATAGACGTCCGAGAGCACAAACTAACTGTCTTTCCTATAGTCGGCTGGATTACCGACCCCTGGAGGGCTTTGTCTACGCCGTCTCACCATTCAACTTCACCGCTATCGGTGGTAACTTGATCGCTGGTCCTGCGTTGATGGGTAACGTCGTGCTCTGGAAGCCGTCACCTTCCAATGTCTACGCCAGCAACTTGGTCTACAACATCCTCCTCGAAGCCGGACTTCCTCCCAACGTAATCCAGTTCGTCACCGGTGACCCAGAGACCATTACCGAGGCTGCCCTGGAGCACCACGACTTTGCCGGTCTAAACTTCATTGGCTCCTCTGACGTCTTCCGCTCTCTGTACGGCAAGATCGCCACAGGCGTCGCCAACAAGGCCTACCGCGAATTCCCTCGCGTCGTCGCCGAGACCAGCGGCAAGAACTTCCACCTCGTGCACCCTAGCGCCGATATCAGCAGCGCCGTCAACCACACTATCCGCGGCTCCTTCGAGTACCAGGGTCAGAAGTGCTCTGCTACTTCGCGTCTGTACCTCCCCGAGTCCAAGGCAGAGGAATTCCTCACCCAGTTGAAGGCTGGTGTCAAGGACATCACCATCGGAAACCCGGACAAGGATTTGGAAGCCTTCATGGGCCCCGTCATTCACCGCAAGTCCTTCGACAAGATCAAGTCTATCATTGACAAGAGCAACAAGGACCCATCCATCAAGCTCGTCGCTGGTGGAACCTACGACGATTCGGTTGGTTTCTACGTTCACCCAACCGTCTACCAGGTCGACTCGCCCGACCACCAACTCTTCAACGAGGAGATCTTCGGTCCCGTGTTGGCGGTTTACGTCTACCCCGACGCCGAGTGGTCCTCAACCCTGAAGAAGGTTGACGAGAACGGTGGCGGTTTCGCCCTCACCGGTGCCGTCTTCGCTTCAGACCGCCGGGCTATTCGCGAGGCCGAGGATGCTCTCCGCTACTCTGCCGGTAACTTCTACATCAGTAAGTCTTCTTCCAGTGATTCACTCCACCTCCAGCCCCGGAAACCCATATCTAACATCTCTCTTTCCAGACTGCAAGACTACCGCCGCCCTGATCGGCCAGCAATCCTTCGGCGGTGCCCGCGCCAGTGGCACCAACGACAAGGCTGGTAGCTCCGACGTTCTTCGCCGCTTCACAAGCCCTCGCTTGATTAAGGAGGAGTTCTTCCCCCAGACGGGGTACAGGTATCCCAGTAACCATTAGATTGATTGCATGATAGCGGCAGTTTGGTTGATTTTGGCTGTATGATTTAAGATTTTACTAGACCTGAATATATGCTTCAAAAAGCTTTTGCTTGAATTTATCATGATCCATCATAAGATTTCTGAGCTGTGTAAAGAGGGAGATTGATCCCATAGAAGTCAGACTGGAAATTGCCAAAAGAAAGAGTCTACTATCTTTGTACAGTATGGCCTCACAATAGAAAGATCACGATAGATATTTTTGACTGAGGCAAGCCTGGTAGAAGATCTAAAGCGTGTAGTGGGACTGTCGATAAGACTTCCATTTTGAAACGCACCTGCATGCATAGATGGCGCTTGTGAATGAGAGGTACATTCGGCTTGGGCTTCAAGTAATCTCATGCCGTACCATCTCCCGTCCTTATCATATCTCAACATGACAGACTGCTGCCCTGCGTTTTCTCGAACCACTTTTAGTGGCCAAATCCGCCGATGTCCAGATGCGGCTATCGAACCCTGTTTCCCGTAGCCGCCACTCGGCAGGGCTCCCGTAGAGCAATCTGAACGATAAGTCTAAATCTTGTGTTCGAACTAGTTTCGATTAGGAGGCAGATCGGCGAAATCCTGACATGTTCACTAAATCCAAATAGATACAGTCTTACATGGGAAATCTTAGTTACGAAAAGAGCAAAAGTACTTCAAAGATAAGAGGTTCATTTCTTAGATATCATTCATCAACGCTTATTTCTGCGTAGCAAACGAGAAACCCCCTTCAATCTACGCTTAAACTCTGCCTTGAGCGCATTATACTCATCACTCGTCCGCAGAACCGCATCCCGATTCTCAATCGCCCGCCGCAGCAAATAAGCCAAACACTCTCCCATCGCGCCCCAGGTAGAGCACTTGTACACCTCGGGCGACCCATCGCTACCCTTCAGGGCGAGAAGCGAGAAGCTCACTTCGTCAGACATTCCGTGCAGTTGTGCGAAGCCGACGGGCACGGTGGGTAGTCCAGCTTGCGTGCGTTGTTTGTGAAGATTGTGGGCGGCCATGACGCTCTCGCGGTTATGGCTGGCTAGGAAGAGGTTGACGGAGGGGAAGGCGGTGGTTGTTCCAAAGTCACCGATGGCTCGCTTCAGAGCGCCCTGGGCAATAGTGTTGTATGCGTTGTCGGTGTCGGCTTTGGTATCGTGGATAAGGGCTCGTTCGTCAGAGGCCATGTACGCGCCCCGCACGAGTTTGAGGCCCAAGGTGAATCCTTCTTGTTGGGCGGCAGCGAGGTGCTTGGCCAGTGTCTCGGTTGTACTCTTCAGGTAGGCTTGGTAGGTGTTGTAGACCACGGCGTATCCGTCGCGGTTATACTTGCGCATGAGGTCGAGGGTAAGGCGGAGGATACCCCATTGGAAATGCTGGGACTCGGCGTCGACGAGGATCCGCACGTTGCGCTCTTTGCATCTTTGGCACACTTCGTCCATGGCGTTAATCATTTGTGTTGGGGGGAGATCGCCTTTGGAAAAGGCCTCGGTGACCGTAGGACCAGCCCCGGTCAATCTGTGAATTGGGTGTTAGTGACGGGCAAGACAATGAGATCCGAGATGGACAAACATACTTGACAGCCAGGTAGTCTCCATCTTCAAGCTGCTCCACCGTCTCCAGAGTTCCCTTCCTCCATGCTTCAATATTGGCACAGTGGACCAGACGAGGATCCAATTGGTCTCCATTCTTTTCAGCCTCCAAAGCGGCAACCCCCAGTCCCTGTTGAGTCTTGGTGCGATGATCAAACACAGTCTCTTTGGCATATGTCATGATCACACCGCGGAATCCCATATCCTTTAATTCCTTGATAGTCGCTTTCGTCTCGGCTGCATTCTCGCCCGCACAGAATTGCTCGTAAAAGGTCTTCTTCAAGATCCCATGGAGGATAGGGTTGCGGTCCACGTTGAGCAAGAGCCCTCGGTTCGGCTTGGAGAGAATAGACATCACCCATAGTGAAGGGTACAACAGCCATGACTTGGACGAGATAGTCGACACCAGTAGGGACCGGAGAAGGACACGGGTGGGCAGGACAGACAAAGGAGGAAGAGATGGAGCTGCTGACGCAGTCTGTTTTTGGGTAATCTCCAGCGTGGATATAAACCTCCGTTGCTGCTTCAGTCCTGTTGACCTATGTTCTGGGGGTACACTCCATCTTGCAACGAGTCTCTCTCCCACACGAGGAGCCGACTTTCCAGTGAAAGAAAGAGCCATAGTATAAGCCAGGCAGTTGGCAGGTTCAATACCTTGGGAGTCTGACTCTGAATATGGCCGTGTACTCCGGTCCAGATGAACCAGTTTATTTATCGATACAACCCCGCCATTCGTCTTCCCCGCGGTATCGACTGGATCTCGTTATCTGGATGGACATCCTCGGGCGCCTCCCCGACAGGCTGGCTGGAGGAATCAGACGAGACCGCGAGGGGTTTGAGTTCCAAGAATGAGAGGGGTATACCATGGTGCGCGTGCGCCTATCCGAGTTTCCCGTGTAATAGTGCCCGATCAGCTGGTCGGGTTTGATAAGAAGCTGGTTTGCTAATGGGATACCCAGGAAGGAGAGAGATGGCCGGGAGGGTGGCCGTACGTGGGGCATCCCGTCCGCGGTTAGGAGGACTCGGCCATGCTACCGATGGAGGGGTTGATAGTGGTCAAGAGTCACGAGGACAGTTGATCGTATGGATTGTGGGATCTTTGACCTTAACGGGGAAGAGCATAGGGCGGGTTCCAAGCAATCAAGCAGGTTGCATAGGATTGTGCATAGTTGTTGGTTTTCCATTGATGTGGCACCTCACACAGGACTCCAGTCCAGATGGTCTTACAGTGAAGTGGCAGATAAGCCCCCAAAAGTTGCCTGAATAATGAGGGGGTACATAGATGCTTGGGGCAAGTTTCAATCTCCCCATAATCTCCCCAGACTCAGAGTGATCCCCAACAAGGACAGAAAGAATAATGTCGAGTCGACCGTGATATGCGGGAATATACTTCCGCTGGGTGCCTGACAGCCTGAATCGTGAGGCATGAAGGTGTCTAGCTGAGCGTTTCCAAAACAGGCAAGCGCTATCCGCGGATCACATGATCAGAGCTGACACCCAGTAAGGCACAAAGGCATTAAGGCACCAATGTTGGCCTTATTCTCGGTCATCCTGGACTCTCACGAAGATTGGAGGAACCAGGAAAAAGCCCCAAATCCAGTACCAAACCCCAAATCCAGTACCAAACCCAAAACCCTAAGCCACTTCATGTTGAGACTTGGGTCACTAGCGCCCGATAGCCTTAGTCAGCGGCCACCGTAGGTTCTCGGCGGTCGATTTTGCTAATCCATGCGGTTCGGTATCTTTCTGCTTTGGATCACCTCATGGACAAGGCCCAATGAGTTATACTTGATAGTCCCATAGTCCCACTCCCATTCGTCATTGGGAGCGATCCCGATGGGCCGATATGTGTAATCCCCTCGCCGCTCCTCCGTAGTCTGCCCGGAATATTAAACCCGCCCTTGCCCCTGGAAGCTGGGAAATTCCGTTATCTCTAATCTGGAATTTGTTTCTTTTCCCCCCCCCATCTCACTCTCTTTCTTTTTCCCCTCGTCCACCAACACCACCACACGACTCTCCATTCCAACAATCGCAATCATGTCTCTCAAGGCCGGTGACAGCTTCCCCCAGGACGTGACCTTCTCGTATGTGCTCCCATCTTCTTTTTTTTTTCTTTTTCAAATCCCGCCATCGTGCTACACTTCCACCTCAAATCCCGCCACTCCTCCTCCAAACCCTCCGAACATCACAAACTACGCGATACTAATCCAAGTCCTCTTAATAGCTACATCCCCTGGGCCGAGGGTTCCAGCGAGATCACCTCCTGCGGTATCCCCATCAACTACCACGCCTCCAAGGAGTGGGCCGACAAGAAGGTCATCCTCTTCGCTCTGCCCGGTTCGTCACCGCTTCTCCCAAAATTTTTGCATCCTGCATTTCCTTCCACCAAGGTTCTCGCCTGCTGACCGCCACATCTCTATAGGTGCCTTCACCCCCGTCTGCTCTGCCAACCACGTCCCCGAGTACATCCAGAAGCTCCCCGAGCTTCGCGCCAAGGGTGTTGATGTCGTCGCCGTCCTGGCCTACAACGATGCCTACGTCATGAGCGCCTGGGGCAAGGCCAACGGTGTCACCGGTGATGACATTGTACGTTTTCTCTCTCAATTAATTCAAAATCCCAACCTCTCCCTTTTCGTGTCAAAATTGACTAACACAAACCCCCTTCCTACAGCTCTTCCTCTCCGACCCCGAGGCCAGATTCTCCAAGAGCATCGGCTGGGCCGACGACGAGGGCCGCACCTACCGCTACGCCATCGTCCTCGACCACGGCAAGGTCACCTACGCTGCCAAGGAGGCCGCCAAGAACGTTCTGGAGGTTACCTCGGCCGACCACGTTTACAAGCAGCTGTAAGCATTTCGTCGCGTGTCGCATGTCCCCGCGTTCTCTCCGCAAATATAGATATGGGTTTAGACCGGCGCATCTGATTACTGGGTTTTGATTTCCCCCGGCTGCTGAGTTGCAGTTTTTAGATATCATTACCCTGCGTTCTTTTTTGCTCTTGTCGGCCATGCCAGACCATAGACAAATATCATAATGAAGCTATGACAATACTTATCTCCTTGCGTAATTTGGTAGTGCCTATCGTAAAAGCGAGTATCGCTAAGGCTTGGTCCCTGTCTAGATTTACACGGTCGATTTGTACAAAACAAAGTAAACTAAATGAATTGGTTGTTGGACTAGTGTCAGGAACTTCTTCTCTATGATTGGTGCCCCCACTGTCATCCCCGTCCACGCGGAGGCCAGTGCTTAACTCGCACTAACTTCTCTGTACATTAGTCCTTTGCCTCCTCTGCTCCGATGTGGACTTCGGCACGTAGTGGGGGATCGGCACTGCCGGGTCTAGACATGCCGGACCTCTGATTCGAATACACCCATCTAGGAGGTTAATTTACTAGTTTTTTGTCTCAAACATTGTAACTTTGGATGTCGAGAATGGGCCGTGGTGAAATAGTCAATTCAATTCATGGAAGTAAAAACCACGCCCAGTATATGCGCGTATGGATGCCTGAATGGTATAGAGCTTGATAGAAATACATTAACAAAGAACCAAGGTGGATATCATCGTGAAACGAAAGACCAGAAACAAAAAACCCAACACCACATCATCATTGCCAATCCCATTTCAAGCCTGATAGGATCATTTACCCTTACCCTTAGGCGTGGCAATGGCAACCGTCCGATTCTTCTTCCGATCATCCTTCGTCCGTAGGCCCTGACTCAACCCCCCGCCCATACCCCGTGCCAGAGAGGCAAACGGCGAAGATGTCTGCCACAAATCTAGATCATCCTGAAGCTGACCAACCCCAGCCTTCGAGGTAGGAGTGTTGCGACCGCTCGAGTCACGACTGGAAGGTGGTTCAGACTGTCGTCGGCGATGTCGTTTCTCGTGTGACGCGTTCCGGTGGGGGAGACCAGCGGTTTCTGGCTTGGTACCTGGCGACATGGGAGTCTCCCATACGGGCATGGGTACGTCGGCTGTAACGTACTCGGAGCAGTTGCAACCGCAGCCGGTTGGACATGTCGGTAGCACATTGGTATCCTCTGGCGGATAGAACGGACTATCGAATTGATCGCTTGAGCTTGTTTGGAGGAACCAGCGACGATGGCAGGAGAAACAGCTCACGTGGCCACAGCCAAGACACGGCACCAGCATCCCGTCGACAACTTCACCGCATACAACGCAGGGGAGTCGAGTAGGGAGAGATTGGCGGGGTTTGCAGTTAGAGCATCGAGATGATGGGGTTTGGCCCCGACGGGCGCGTTTAGACGGTGTCTCGGGGGCTGGCGGTGGAGCAAATATGGACAGTTGCTGAGCATGGCCACAGTTGACGCAGTGACGCTGGAAATCAAGACCGTCAAGGCCTGACGTGGGACCTTTCTGTGTCACCTCTGGAAGGGTCGACGTCGTCTTGGAACTGCGGTTACTCCAGTATTGACTGGTATGCATATCATCTTCCGAAGCATAAACTACCGCTCCGATCTTCATGACCTCACTTTGTTGGACAGGAAGTCCCCATATGGATAGCAGATCGGCGTATGCAGCGCGGTAAGACTGGTATAGCCATTCCTTATCACGGTCGAGCAGGGAATCAGGTGCGGCATCATCGCCATCAAACGCACTTTGATTCTTCAGAGTGACCTTGAATCGAGCTGCTGGTTTAGCTGGTTGAGGGGGACGGTCACTTTCGGTATCAGATTGGGCCTATAAAAGTCAGAGAACCGCAGCAGTAAGGCCATCTAGAACAGGGATAGCTATACATACCACCGGACCGGATGCCACGCCCGGGCTCTGTCCCGGGCTTGGCTTCTTCTTACTAAGGTGGCTCACGGGAGGCGATGCCGATGAAGGCCCAAATGTGAAGGAACGAGATAATGACGATGCAAGCACAGACCCAAATCCAGATCCACTTCGAGGCTGTGATTGTTGATCCGGCGATGCTGCTATTGAGACATTGTGGCTCAAAGCCTTGCGATCGGCAGCAATACCTCGTGGGCGAGAAGAACCCAGCGGAGGCGTAGTGCCAGTAGAGTAAGGGGGAGTAGATTCAAGGCGCCAGATCTCACTCGACGAGCGAGCAGAGGTGTGAGGAAGCACAGATTGGGTCTCCCGCGGGAGAGAGGAAGCAGGAGTAGCAGCTTGCGATTTGTTGTTCTGCACTGTTGACGCAACCGATGAGAACTCCAAGGAGAACGCCCGTTCCTCGAGGCGAGGTTCCGATTGTTCCTCTGACCGGCCCTCGTGGTTCGCTTCCAGCAACACGCAAGAAAGCATTGCTACCATCTGCACATCGCCAATACGCTCGAAGTGTTCAAACAAAGCAGGTACAAGCCAGTGTCTTCCCATAGGATGGTCTCCCCATCGAATAACACTACTCGCGAGATCTTTGTAAAACCCACCTTTCGGAGTAACCTGGCTGCGACCCATGCTGCCGATACCCTGTGCGTCTCGTCGGATTCCCATCTTTGATTCGAGATTAGAAACCGGCTTCCTTCGAACTTGAAGAATCAACTTGATGAGACCCCAAATCTGAGCCAACTCGTAGCATCCCGCGTCCAGAGCAACAGCAGCATTGTGAGCACACACGTCCGCTCCTTTACCACAGATGCGATATTTGCTAGCAAGTTCCCGCTTGACTGGCAGCATATCGCTCAAATCATGAATAGATACCACGTTGCGAGGCGCATCAGGGACTTTTGCGGTGGCACCTCCAGCAATAGATCGTTGAGAGTTATCCGTCGACCGTGGTCTGTAGATACCGATACTACCGGCACTGCGCCAGGTTTGAGGTGCTTGAAAGCGGGCTGGTAGCCCTGAGAGAATATCAGAGGAGCCGGATGAACTGGAGGTCTCAGAGTACGAGTCATCGGAGTAATCAGACGCGCCGTCATCCGTGCTCGTGAGTGTGCCGTTCATGCGCGGGCCAGGGGAGCTCGTCTGCAGGCGGCCGAAGCCTTCAAAGACCTTGTCTGTCCGGGACAATCGACTCATCTCTTTGAATCCGATGTTGTCAAACAGCTCTGTTGACTTGTCCTTTTTCGGCGGGAAGAAACAAATGAGACGGCCGTCGTTTGCCCATAAGGCACCGCACCCCTTCGCAACAGGCACCATCACGTTGGCGTTCACTGGTCGAAGTAGCTCCGAACTCATTCCTAGTTCCTGGCTTTGCGTCATGCCAACTTCGTCTTCGTCGCTGGACTCACCCTCCAATTCGCCGTTGAGGGGTGATTTGACGTTGTCACCAGTCTCGCCAAGAATCCACGCGATACTCTCCTCGAGGCTACTCTCCCCCAGCAGATAGCGCACTGCGCCTTCTAAACAGCCTCGTGTCCTCGACTTGTAGGTCTCGGCGATAGTTCGCAGTTCCGCTGTGAGTTTCTGAGACAGCTCGTCGGTGACGGCAGCTGTCTTCTGAAAATTAAATGTGGGAATCGCTGTCTTAGGGTAGCTAACAGGGAACTTGATATCAACTTTGAGGAACAAGGATGCACCCTCCGCGCCCCAGGGACCGTTGAGTGAAATAGAAATTTTCCTTTGTCGCACATCAACCGATTCAAATGCAACCTTGGTGAACTTTTCGCCCACATGACTGATCTCATCTCCCAGGGTCTCAACGTCCCAACCCGAGATCTTCACGCCACGCATCCAAGCAATCGGATTGGTATCAGCTCGGAGATTCGAACGCGGCTGCATCCCCATACGGGTATCGACATTGCTAGTCCGCGTCCAGGCACGAGCGTGGGGCACTGAAATGGCATTCATGCCGGGGCTTCCAGGATACTGGCTAGTCACCGCATGATGTGGGCCAACTGAAGAAGCGGCATCGAGTTCCTCCACGTCTAAATCCGAATTGACATCCCTGAAACTTCGGTAGACCGCACCCAAGCGCGTCACGTTTCGAGTTGAAATATAGGATTTCCCTTTCTCATACCCGACACGCTCAAGAATCTCGGGATCGACTCGGTGAAGTCGCAGCTCGCGATCGGTTCCCCATGTCACGAGTTGGAACTCCCGGTTGTCGATGCCATCTACCACACCTCCTCGGGGCCTCCACAGGAACTCCTTCACCTGGCCTTTGTGTCCAGGGAAACTGTGAACCAGAGGCAAATCATCTTCAGGGTTGCTACCCTCGCCAGCTCGCCGACTGTAGAGGTGGAGGTCGCTGTTGCCTCTCTGTGGCATGGCAAGCACACCCCATCCAAAGGGCGTGTTTCGAGCTCGCCACACCGGGAAAGGTGTGCGGATTAACTTCTCCGGCACCTCAGTGTCGGTCGTATAATCCCAGAATTTGATAGTCTTGTCCAACGAGCATGTCGCTAGCGCGCCGCGCCTAACTCGGTTCCAGTCCACGCCATAGATCTTGGTGTCATGGGCTTCAATGGACTTGATCGGATAGGCACCCATACGATCATCCCAAATCCGGAGATATCGATCGTGTGAACTTGCGATAACGTGAGGATCTTGTCGATTCCATTTGACCTGGGTGGCACTGGTGAACCAGTCCGAAAACGAGATGGCGGGCCGCGAGGGTGTGCGCAGGTCCCAGCAATGCACAAAACTATCAACTGCACAGGTGGCCAAGATATCCGGATGAAAGGCCGACCAATTGATATCGGTAATTGCTCGCGAGTGAGCGTGCAGCACATACTCGATGGAGTTCTGCCATGTCTTCATGGCCAAATTCCACACCAGCGCTTTCTGGTTGGAAGTACTCACGACCCAGTAGTCGCGTGATGCAAACGGCGACCACTGTACGTCGGCGACCTCCCACGGCGTATGGTGAGGGAGATACCGCGGTGGGGAGTACGGCGAGTCCAGGTCGATGACATGGAGACCCTCCTTGGACGCCAGGACCACATCGCGCCCACATGGAGATATGGACATAGATCCTACCGGCTGCTCCACATGGAATGAGCTATCCTCATCAAAGGTCGGGCTCTCGAAGGCCGACGTGAGCGGCCGGGGCCCCATGGAGCTGGACATCTTGACTGCTGCGACCGGCCCTCTCGGCCAATCCAGGCCTTCCCAATGACCGCGGGATCAAGTCACTACGAGGGTTTGGAAAAGATCAATGTGAAGTTTGCTTTGACATTTTGTGAACGCCCCCGAATGGTTTGTTCGAATGCACTAATGTCCAATCTCTCGCGTGCCCGAGGGAGGAGCTGCGATAACGCGGAGAGAAACATCTGTGGCTAGTGGAGTGGCGTATCTACCTCAATTCGGCAACAACGCAGGTAAATGTGGCGGTGCATTCACCTGACGGTACGGCAGTCGACAGAACCCCGCCATGCAGTGCCCCTCGACGGCTTCGTTGCGGCTTTTTGTTGACAGGTCGCGCTTCAATCGCTTTACTCTCCAGTTGGTCTCATTAGTGTGTCTTGGGTCCTGCGCAGCCATCCGTGTGTCTCCAAAGTTGTCCTCAGAGAACCCATCGACCACTACTCCAGCCGTCTACTTCCGTGATTCACAGTCGCCATGGCCCTGCCGAAACGTATTATCAAGGAGACGGAACGACTCATGGCTGAGCCGTAAGACAACCTTCTGGTCCCTTATTCTCGCTTTGGATATCCACGACTGATTTGATATTCGGCATATAGGGTTCCCGGTATCAACGCCGTTCCTCACGAAGATAACTTGCGGTATTTTGATGTTTCCATCCATGGCCCCGCTCAGTCTCCATATGAGGGTATGCTTGATTGACAACTTCCATTATTTGTCTCAATTACCAACATATTCTGTGCTAGGTGGCATCTTTCGACTTGAGCTATTCTTGCCCGACGACTACCCCATGACTCCTCCCAAGATTCGCTTCCTGACCAAGATATACCACCCCAACATCGATCGTCTCGGCCGTATCTGCTTGGATGTCCTGAAGAGTAAGAAATACGCCCATTTCAACAAGACTTCTCATATCTAACACCTAATATAGACAACTGGTCCCCCCGCTCTCCAGATCCGCACTATCCTCCTCTCGATCCAGGCCCTCCTCGGTGCTCCCAACCCCGACGACCCTCTCGCCAACGACGTTGCCCAGCGCTGGAAGGATGACGAGCCCGCAGCGATTCAGACGGCCAAGGAGTGGACTCGCACTCATGCGATGACTTGAACGGGACTATATGCCATGTGACCATGATAAAAAGAGAGCGAGAATACTTGCAGTGCACCATATCGGAGGCGTTGACCAGGAATGGGACGGGCCTCTGTTTTTTTTTCCAGCGTGACCACTTTTTTCCTTCGCAAATTCCATCCGGTATAACGATGGTGGTATCTCATAAGGCGTTGCATAGAATCCAATGCGTTATCTGGAGTTCTTTTCTTGCTCTTATTAGGCCTTGCGTCTGGCGAAGCCCTGAATGCCAAATTGCCTGTAATTCGTTCCTTGCTCTGCGTTGAATATTCGACCAGGACGTATGTATAATGTAAGGGGGTGTAGAGATATTCCGTGGCCGCTAGCGGCTAGTCTAAATCACTCACTGGGTAGTAGTCGTTGAAGTCGAAGCCAACGTCGACGAGATATCTGCATCTTGTTCGCAGTTTATACTTCGCCTCGTCTGCTTTCAATAAACACCAATCTCGAAAGAAAACCACAATTAACAGGGTATCATACTATTTGAAATATTCAGCCTAAAATCAGAGCTTCTAGATATCTACCTAGTCACCCCAAGGCGAACAGTAATCCTGCTGCACGAGAGTCCTACAGTTGTATGAAGTAGACGTAGACGGGTAAAGGGCCACTTCCAGTTACACCAATCACTCTCCCCCCTCATATGGCCTAGTGGTCTCCCATCTGGGATTGACCTATGGGTGTGCCCTGGGAAATGGGCAAACAAAATATGGGTACAGACCTCCTGTGTCGAGCATGACTCCACGGATGGCCGGGCACATCCCTAGGCGGGGAGAGTGGGCGGGTGGGCATGCGAGGTGGTGACAGCACCTCCTCGCGGATAGAGATCTTTTTTTATTTTTTATCAACATAATCTTCTATTCTACAGCATTCGAGTTCCTTTTGTTTTACTTTGTGAAAAGACTTTCTAAGTGTGTAGAAGCGTGGTGTTTACTGGACGTGCGATGAGGTTGACGCCGGGTGATGTACCTCGGCATCGTGGGAGCAGGATGGAGTATCTTGATGAGGTATATAGGGGACCGACAGGTTAGGGGTTCAATCCATAGGAGAGGAAATGTTTGTTTCAGATTATGTGGTATGGCTTGTGGAGATTAAAACAGCTATCTCAGACTATCGAATATCCAGTCCAGCTTCGGCCCACTGGTGTTGAAACCATCATAACATCGACGGTTGAAGACTCTATTTGCTCAAGTCTATAGTAGCAGAACTACGGTCTTATATCACTTTAATATAGCCTACTGCTATGGAAGGGTGTGTTTGATCATTACGAATGCGGCTGAAGTCCGATTCTACAAGCATATCCTTGTCTGTATAAAGGGTCCAAGGCCCTTGTATTCTGCAAAGAAGGTATCTACAAAACGCAATGTTTCTTTTCCCTCATGAATGTGCCAGAAGCCGAACTTTTGGACAAGCCGCTGCAACATAATTTAGAAAGAATGCAATGCTCAATGCCCGCAAAACATGCCCATAAAAACCAGTAGGTATCATGAACAAATAGACCAACCCGAGCAAAAAATCAGTAGCTCACCAATCGTCGTTATCGTCCTTCTCATCATCTACATTTACCAATTAGCATAGACTCATTACTTCCTTCGGGGCATTGTTACTTACCACTGCCGCTGACCCGCTGCTTTCTCTTGTTCAATGCATCCTGCAAAGCACCAGCCAATCCACCCTGTGGACCTCCGCCAGAGCTCGTGGCTGCAGCAGATGATTCGGCAGCACTTCCTGGGACCATTGCCGAACTCCGGTCCTTCTTGTCAGAGTCCTTGACCTTCCTCAAGCCTCCTCCGCCTGCACCACCAGAGCCACGAATAGCTGCGAGGAGATCGTCTCTTCCACCGGGGCTCTTAGGCAATGGAGGTGCTGCACCACCTGGGGCTGGAGGGGGAGGAGGTCCCCCAGAACCACCGGGTGGAGGTGGTGGTGGAGGTACTGCAGGCCCAGACCGTCCTGGTGGTGGAGGAGGGGGTGGGCCACCGAACGCACCTGCACCTGGAGCAGGGGGAGGGGGCGGCGGAGGCACACCAGGTGCCCCAGATCCTCCTACAGGGGGAGGTGGTGGCGGAACAGGGGGTCCAGAGCGGCCTGGGGGTGGTGGAGGAGGCCCTGGTGGTATCGCTGAAGTTGTCGCAGGAGGAGCAGGCCCTCTTGGAGGAGGTGGAGGTGGAGCGGGAGGAGCAGCGGCAGGAGTGAATGGTACAGGACGAGGCGCAGGGGGCGGAGGCGGAGAAATCGGAGCTCGAGCTGGTGGTGGGGGAGGCAGGCCAGATGGTGCGCCAGTAGTGGGAACTTTGGGGGAAGCTGGGGCGGGGCTGCTGGGCTAGCTGTACGAGGCGGTGGTGGAGGGGGTCCGCCAGGAACCGGGCTGCGACTTGGAGGTGCGGGCGGAGCGGAGACTTTGCGTTCGCCCATAAACGGAGGAGGCACTCCAAATCGACCTTGAGGCTGACTTGGACCATCTTCCATTGGGGTCTTCGGAGGTCGTGGGGGCGGTGGCGGGCCCGGGGTAACGTTTGATGTCGCCCGTGGCCGCCGCGGTGGTACAGATCCAGCAGGCTCAGCAAACTTGCCAGCATCTGCGATTGGAGGGGTGCTCGGAACATTCGGGTTGGTGCTGGAGGTGGAGAGGGTTCACGAGGCGGAGAAGGAACGGATTCATCCGCAGTCTCAGCACGACCTTTCCGTGTCGGAGGAGGCGGCGGCGGCCCACGTCGGCTTGCCGAGCTAGTACCCGTACCCTGAGGACTGATTGTAGTTACCTTGGGGGCAGGCGCACCAGGTGGTGGTGGTGGGGGCGCGCGTGGCTTGTTCTGGTCACCAGCTGCAGGAGATTCGCCGGCTGTGGTCTGTTTCTGGGCAATCCAGGACTTGATGAAGTCCGAGTTGTCGGCGATCTGATCTTCGGTGATGCCCATCTGTAAGAGCTCATCCAAGAGGCCCTTCTGTGTTGGATCATTGATGTCGAAAGGAAGATCTCCCTTGGCTGGCGGTGCGCTTGGAGCCAAGGTGGGAGGTGGTCCAACTGGTATTGACGGCACAGGAGCTGGGGGCGGGTTGGCACTGGGTGCATGGGTCGAACGATGCAACAGACTACCGAAAAGGGAGCGCCCAGGAGCTTTGCCGTTGGTAACTGGTGCAGGACCCTGGCCACGAGAGGATGCGAATGGAGTCTTGCTGGTTTCCTTGCTTGCATGTTTCTCACGCTCGTGCACCTTCTTGATGAACGTCTTGGCCTCTTTCTCGTCGGCGAACGACAAGCCCGCCGGGCAGTTCTCGAGTTCAAAGGTATGGAAGAATGTGCGGTCCTGGTTGTAAGAGAAGTTATGGTAGATCTCCTGGTCCCAAATCACGCCCTTTCCAGCGGGCTGCAGTGACCGCAACTGTGTCAGCAACACTATTCATTGATCTTCACAGATAGATCGACACCCACCGAGACATCGACTATTTTCAGCCAAAAAGTCCGTCCCACTAAATCATTGCAGAGCACAACTGCTCCCTGCACACCGGTATATGTCCATCTTTGAGGATCAGGGTAGGCCACATAGAGTCGTGCGACAGCTACGGCCAGGATCTTGTTGGCAGGTTTAGGCACCTGTCGCTTGACAGTTTCCTTGTCGGCATCGGTGAGAATTGAGGGCATGGCGAATTAACGCAAACCCAGGTTGAACAGCGAGAGAGAATTATAGGTGATGGCACGGGTAGGAGTGAGGTTGTCGAAGGCGCATGGCAGACAGACCGGAGTGGAGCGGTTCGAATGTGTGGTCCCAACACACCGACAGGAAGGACACGGGCAGGAGGATAGTACAGGCGACCCGTAGGTAGATGGAAGGGGGAGGTAAAGATGAATCCTAGGGGATCTAAATGCGAAGGTAAGGAATTGGTAAGGATCCGACCGGCGGTTGCCTTGAGGGGGAGAGCCGTGGGGAGAGAGTTTGGGTGAGTTGGAGTGTGAGGTTGCTTTGGTGGGGGCGCAGTACGTCGGAGGGACTTTGGTCGGGGCGCTTGGCTGCCGCGCGGCACGTGGTACCCCCAAGGTATATACAGGCAGTGAGCCGCCTGGTTACTCTTGGGCATTGTCAAATAGGGCTACTTGATCAACACAGCCACAATACATAGTTCACTAATGGAATTGATTATCGTCGGTATATGAAGTCAAGATCGGTGGCTTACGTATCTTTAATCAGCCGCAAGCAGCCGTATAAAATGATCGTGCATGCCTACACCTTCAGAAGGATATAGAACGAGATTTGTTCGAAAAGCATACCATTTTGATCGAGTAATCTGCGGTTATTTTCAATCCGTACTCCAATAATGAGCGTCATCAAATGCTATGACAACATTAATCCAGGTATTTCCATGTGTGTTCCAATACCCCTCGCACTCTATACTCGAAGGACAACTTGAAGCCATTCCCGTCGGTGGCCTAAATAGGTATCAAATTGTTTTAGCTTCGAAGAGTTGGAAGAATTGCTTCCAATGGATAACAACGTATATCCTATGCCGTCTATCCAACATGTAATGTTCCCCAAGGTCGGACAACATGACGGCACGTCCCTAAAGCCCAGACTCAGAGTAAGACCCTTGCCAACCACTGACGTCACTCCATCTATTCCAGTTCTATATATCTGGCTGCCTTGATCAAGTTTACCGTGTAGTGTAGACACACCCTCCAGGTGAAAAAAAACCTCTGTACTATCTGAGATTTCAAAGAAGAAAAAGAGATACAAAGATTCAGCCTTGTCTCGTATCTCCTATCAATCCCTACGATGCCTGTCATCCCCGATTCGTCCGATTTCCCGTCAGCCTCGAAGAAGGGTTCTACCGAGCCCCAGGCCAAGCCAGGCGAGCAACGTGAGAAAGCATCGGCGATGGACCATCTTTCAAAGGGTCCTCAGATTCCAGACGGTAAGAGAGCAGCCGGTTATTCTGCTGTACGTCGACTAAGGTGAAACAGAAATGCCACCCAAGGCGTCGAGGGAAGAGACTGAGGCCCGGATGAAGGAGCTGAACAATCCACGGGATTGAATGGACTGGAAACATACAAGCTGATTTATTAAACGTATTGATTGTTATTTCCGGTCAAATGTGACCCTCCAGCTGTAGAAATTAAACACTTGCAACTAGGATACCATCGTCAATGCATTGCATCATAGGTCACGTGATCTCGCGACGGCATCGACAGGCGCCTGACTCTTCTCACTTCAACGCGTCAAGAAGGGCTCCTCATGCCGCCGGAACGAACAAATGCGCCGGTGAAGCTGTCTTTGCCACTGGCAAGTTGCTTTAATGCTTCAGATCTGTTGGTGTTGTTGCTGACAATCTCGAAATCTAGCAATACCAGCAGGACATCTTCACCGAACTACGCGCCGAGGATGAGTTGGTTATTCTTGCCCGTGGTCTGGGGCTCCTCCACCTCATAACGAATCTGCTTCACTTCTACGATGCGGCGGGCAATAATTTGGTATTGGTGGTAGGAGCGGATGATCGTGAAAATGAGTGGATTGGAGAAGGTAGGTTGGGCCGACTTAGAGATTGCGAGTCGTTCGACGCTCATATTGGTTTCAAAGCATTGGCGGAGCATTATGCGACTAGCAAGTCTCCACTTGCACGAGGATTGAAGGTCATCAATACAGAGAAGGCTACGGTGTCAACGCGGTGGGTTTCGAGATACATGTCAGCGATGTCTGGGGCCCTTCTGATTATAGCATTAGAGAACGAATCTATGCGGAAGGTGGTGTTCTGAGTGTGACATCCAGAATACTGGTCGTGGATTTGCTGTCGAGTATGTTTGGAGCCTGCCCTTGTTCAACTCCATACTGAGTTTTCTAGAGCTTCTTGATCCTGAAAAGGTCACAGGAATGATCATTCTACATGCTGATAAGTACATTGGCCTTCTAACCGATCGATTGTGTTGGATTGGCGACTCACATTGGAACAGGGTCGTGGCGACCTCTTTGGAGGCATTCATAACTCGCATCTATCGGCAATCGAACAAGCGGGGGTTCTTGAAGGCATTTTCAGACTCCCCCGAGCCTTTCACGACCGGGTTCGCGCCACTGGCCAACATGCTACGAAATCTCTTCTTGCGAAAAGCTTCATTATGGCCTAGATTCCATGTCTCCGTAGCCGAGGCTTTGGAGGGTAATCGTACGGCAGAAGTTATCGAGCTGGAAGTTCCAATGAGTGCCAAGATGCGAGAAATCCAAAACGCCGTTCTCGAGTGTGTTGAGATTAGCATTGCCGAGCTCCGGAAATCTAACACGGGTCTAGACATGGAAGAGTGGACCTTGGATAGCGCCTTACACAGGAACTTTGACGTCTCGATCCGGCGGCAATTAGATCCTATATGGCATCGGGTCACTTTCAGGACCAGGCAGATAGTCAGCGACCTGACAGATCTTCGAGGCATTCTTCAGTTCGTTCATCCCACCTGCTTGACTTCCAATTCTAACGTGGTCCCAGTGCTCTGCTAACCTATGATGCTGTATCTTTCATGAAATACCTCGACACAATTGTGTCGGCGCATTCGCCGCCTCCGGGCTCCAACAAACACAACTATTCTCCCTGGCTTTTCCTTGATGCTGCCCACGTTCTTTTCCAGACAGCAAAGTCGCGAGTATACCAGGGCAAGATGACGGATGAGATGTCCCGGTCATGGTCATCAACCAACTTCTCAGCCGAGCTCAAGCCCGTTCTTGAGCCTCTACCAAAATGGGAAGTCCTCGCCGAAGTTCTCGAGGAAATAGAGCAGGATGCTTATCTGAACCCACTGAATCCAACGGAAGACTCCAACGGCACGATACTAATCATGTGTGGTGACCAACGCACCTGCCGTCAGCTTCGTGAATATGTGGGCACTATGCATGCCAGAGTCTCTCATGCGTCAAACGGGAATGATGAGAATGAAGAAGCTTTGGACGAGGAGGGATCGTCTGCAGAAGTGATGATGCGACGTCGACTGCGTGATTATCTCAATTGGAAAAGGTCCCTTTCCAATGTCAATAAAAACTTATCCCAGCCCGGAGAAGGGGCCAAGCCTGGGGAATCGCCAAGGCCGGGCCAGCAACAAGGGAGGCCTCCTCCAAATAAGCGTCGACGAGTGCGTGGTGGTGGAGCAGTCAACTCTGCTTCTGGTCGCGTGCCAGACAGTAGTGTCCAAACGCAGGTCGAGTTGCCGGCCCAAGTCGTCAGCCTGCTGGAGGAAATCCAGCCTACCGAGGTGGAAGAAATCCAGAAAGAAGAGATTGACGTTGACGATCTAGAGGATATGGAGGATTACTTTGAGTTATATGAGATGAATGATCTGGTTATGATCCATCCCTACGACGGCGACATGGATGAGCATATCCTAGAGGAGGTTCGGCCGCGATATATTATCATGTATGAGCCGGACGCAGCATTCATCCGCCGGGTGGAGGTCTATCGCAGCTCGCACGTTGGGAGAGTTGTGAAGGTCTACTTCCTCTCCTACGAGGGATCCGTTGAGGAGCAGCGATATTTGAGTGCCGTGCGACGAGAGAAGGATGCGTTCTCGAAATTGATCAAAGAAAAAGGAGTAAGTTTTGTCCTACTTGTCTTCGATGCATACCTTCTGATGATCCTCAGAATATGGCGGTTACTTTGACGCATGACAAGAGCGCCGAAGATCCCCAAGAACAATTCCTACGCACTGTCAATACTCGAATTGCGGGCGGCGGAAGGCTCGCTGCGACGGCAGCTCCTCCTCGGGTGGTAGTCGATGTGCGCGAGTTTCGCAGTGCTCTCCCATCTCTACTGCATGGAAACAATATGATCGTAATCCCCTGCCAATTGACCGTCGGAGATTACATTCTCACGCCAGACATCTGCGTCGAGCGCAAATCTATTCGCGACTTGATTGCTTCGCTTCGTAATGGTCGTCTCTATAACCAGGCTGAGACAATGATCCAACACTACAAGACTCCACTCTTATTGATTGAGTTCGACCAGAACAAGTCCTTCACCTTTGATGCATTTGCAACCATCTCCACCGGCACAACATTCTTGACTGACTACGGCTTCTCGTCCTCGGGACAAGCGACTAGCACAAGTACCAGCGCACATACTAATCCATCAAATCCGAAGTCTGCACAACATTTGTTAGTTCTGCTAACACTCGCCTTCCCACGACTCAAGATTATCTGGTCCTCATCGCCCTATCAGACGGCCGAAATTTTTGCGGAGCTCAAGAAGAATGCCGCGGAGCCTGATCCTCTTCGCGCTGTCCAGATCGGTCTGGACATTGACATATCAGGCGCTACTGGTGATGTCATGGCTGCAACTGGCATCGAACACCGGACATTTAATCTGCTGCCGCAGGACATGCTCCGGGCCGTACCAGGTGTAACTCCCCAAGCCCTCGATCGGCTCATTCTTGAAACGGAAAACCTGCATGAGGTCGCTAATATGAGCGTGGAGCAGCTGGATCCGCTGGTCGGAAAGGAAGCAGCTCGAAAGATTGTTGCTTTCTTCCGGAAGAGTGTCTTTGACGATTAATCATGTCATCATGTATTTCACATCGAGAAAAAAAAAGCATGGCGAGGCCCTTAGGAGCCCAGGCAAGGAAGTTTATGACATAAAGAAGTGCAAGAGTGGGTAGCGACTGTACTGCGTACATTTAGTTAAACAAAGTCCTGGATCCTCGGGATGGACGAACAGGCGTAGACGTAAAGTGGAACTATTGCATATGAAGCATTTTGAACCAAGCACAAACAAACAAATAACCAGCCGAGACATCCGGGCTCATTTTTAACGCCGTCAAAGACAAAACACTGTACGACTCCATCGCTTTTCGTCTTGGCGTCGATCCCAGGTGCAGATCAGCCAAAATAGAAACGCCAACACGCAAGGGTCCACCAAGAAATACCCCCTGAGAGTGGGGGAGAAACATATCCGGGCCGTTCTTGATCAGACTTCGGACCTTGGACTTCACTTTCAGACTTCCTGATGCTTCACACACCCATCTAACCATGCATCTCAAGGCGACCCTTTTGGCCCTGGTCGCGTTGGGGGCGGCTGTTGGGGCCCGCAAGAATGTACGAGATGTCGAGCCGTGTGCGCAGATCTCCAAGATGGTTGCAGATGCCAATAAGAATCAGAGTGCGTCTCGAACTGCTTTAATTGGAGTATTGCTTGGATTCTAACGGTCGCAGTCGGCGCTAAAGTTCCCCATGACTTGGCACATCAATGCTTGATGTCCATGCCGTTTGAGTCGAGTCGAGCAGTGACCTTTTTGAATCAAGCTCGAAAGTATCTAGAGTTTCAGTCGACGACTGACATTCTCAAGAGTAACGACTCTCAACATAGTTCTCTTTGGACGTGACTAACATTGAGACTATAGATCCTCCCTCTGGCTATACAATGCCGTCTACTGATCTTATGGGAGGGATAGATTCGATCCTGGAAAAGGCCAACAACAAGGGGTACTCAAGCCAATTTGAGATGGATCTGGAAGTCACCAATCTCATAAGATCAGCATATGATGGCCACTTGACCTTCCAATTATGCTCACAGTCAATTTTCAATTATGAGTTCGATATGCCTCTCGTGTCTATCTCAACGGATGGTCTCGAGCTACCAGAGGTCTACACGTTGAGTAAGTGAAGTCCCAGGGGTATCTTGTGAACCTACTTATAATCAGCTACAGACGACGCAAAGCTTCAGCAAAGCGGTACCAAGGGCGTTTCTCCCCTGGTATCCATTAATGACACCGATGCAGCCGAGTTTCTTGCATCGTATGCATCTGGTCAAAGCCTTCAAGATCACGATGCTCAGTATGTTCTACGCCTTGATCAAATACCAACTTCTTGTTTCTTACACTCTCAGATACAATCGAATCTTTCCGGCTCTAGCTCGCACTGTCACCGGAACCTCCATTGACGAGAACGGTATCTGGGTCAGTACTGCTGACTGGAGTGATGGCTCCCAGGTGACTCTCAAGTATGACAATGGGACTACTCAGACCGTGGATAAGAGTACTGTTCCCAAGGAGAGATATTTCTCTTATACCAACGGCACCAGTCTCTACAAGGTCAACTGCATTCCCCGGGGCCTCCCTACCGCCGAATCCTCTTCATCAAATGCCGAAGTGGCTTCTTCCCTGCCGGGACTCCCAGAGACACAATGGCATAACTCTGCCAACTCTATTGCGGGCTATTTCTCGAATCTAACCGGACTGGAGGACACTGGGATTATCTTCCTGCCCACTTTCTCCTCTAACCCCCAGGAGGCGGCTCAAGTGGCGATAGAATTCCTGCACAACGCCACCATCGCTGGGAAGAAGAACATCCTAATCGATGTGTCGGCTAATCCAGGTGGATACCTATCGATTGGACTTGATCTATTTCGGATCTTCTTCCCGGAGGCCGTCCCATACACTGCGACACGATATCGAGCACACGATGCAGCCAAGTATCTCACCAAAGCATTTTCACGCTCGACGACCCAGGACTCAAGCAATATATTTGCGTACAAGGAGATGGTTGCTCCAGACCAGAAAACTGGATTCAGCTCTTGGGAGGATCTTTATGGACCACATGAGATCTTTGGAAGTTCTTCGTCTAGCTTGCTGGCCAACTTTAACTACACTTCCACTTCTAGTCAAACATACCCCATCAACGGATATGGACCTATCCCGTTCAATCCTGAGAAATCCCTGTTCCCGGCTGATAACATTGCCATCGTGAGTATTTTCAGAAGTTGTCCACAGCACCTATATGAAGGCAGGAGCTAACAGCAATTTATCTCAGATTACTGACGGAGACTGCGTCTCAACCTGCGCCTTCTTCGTCAAACTCATGAAACGCCAAGGCGTGCGCACCATTGCCTTCGGTGGCCGTCCCACCGAATCACCCATGCAAGGTGTCGGCGGCGTAAAGGGTGGCCAATCCCTCAGCATAAACTACATCAACGGCTACATCCGGCAAGCCAACCAGCTGATCCAGAATGCATCAGACAGCTCATCTCCCCTCCTGACACCAGACGAGTGGAAGAAATTCAACGATTCAAGTCCTAGCACTGCCACCTCTTTTGCTTGGAGTGGAAGCGTCAACCTACGAAATGAGTATGATCCAGATGATGATCAGACTCCGCTACAGTTTGTGTATGAGGCGGCGGAATGTCGGCGCTTTTACACGATTGATAATTATGTGCAGCGGGAGACGGTGTGGCGAGATGCTGCGAGATCTATGTTTGGGGATGGAGGTTGCGTGAAGGGGTCGACTAACGGGAAGGGTAGTTTGGGTGCTCCTTGAAAAACAATCCATTTGATTAGATAATGTGGGCTATTGTATCTATGCCATCAATAAACCAAATTTTTGACCACAAGGGCAAAGTCAAGACCATTGGAAGCCGGCTATCTGACTGCGAAGACATTTAGCCCCCCTTTGTCAACGACTTCTCCGCGATATGGGACATTGAATATCATGTATGGTCCTCTGCTTGTCTACTTGCAAGGCGCCTGGGGGAAAGCACATTAAAGGAAGGTGATGAGGCGAATGAAAATAACCCAGCCAGTGGCCAGACACTGTTTACAGAATACGTGACTAAATGAGATGGCACAAATACCACAGATATGGCGGAGGCAATATTTTTTCAATTCTTATAACCTTTTTTCGCAAAATCTATCACTCGAAAAGGAATGAAAGGAAATCAGAGCTAGACAGAGGCACATAGTATGCAATGCAATGCAGCACGCAGTTTCATCATGCGTGCTGCGACCAATTTTACTCTGTAGCGTGACCCCGAAAAATTTGCAGGAACAGATATAGGACCGTAAAACGTGCGTCCAAAGACCATGTCGGCTAACATGCAAAATATCGAGATATTTTTGTCGTCGATGTCTTCATACCCTGGTAAATTGTCGTAACGTCGCCGTAGGTGGGGGGATGCCCTTCATCTCCATGCAGGGCCGGGGTGGGAGTGGCGTCGGAGTTCGCTTGAGGAGGCCCTTCGACTGGGTACTGAACGCTTCAAGAGTCCAAGGAAGCTGCAGTAGATCGAGAGGGTATAGATCACGGCGCTAAAACCAACAGTGGCGATGTAGGAGTAGTGTGGCGGAACGTGAAGAGCACCATGGCGTAGTTCTGCATGGCGCTCTTGCAGGGTAGAGAGCATCGAGCTCTGGGGTGGTAGGGGTGAGCTTAGAGCTCGTCGACGTCGATTTCCTTCTCCTCCTCGCTCTCGCGGTCCTCGTCGAACTCGACGTTGTCCTCGAAGCCCTCGTTGCCGAAGGTGTCGGTCTCGTTGATCTTGGCGTGCTCGGGCAGCTCACCGTAGGCCTTCAGACTACGGGCCTCGTCGGCGGTGTACTTCATGATAACATCGCCCTTCTCGTCCTGGTAGTCACGGAGCGAGAGCAGGATAATATCGCCCTGGTTGATCCAGACCTTCTTGCGGAGCTTGCCACGAATGTGGGCTAGACGCTTCTCGCCGTCGAAGCACAGAGCCTCCAGACGACCGTTGCCGAGCATCTTGACGACCTGGGCGTACTCTTGTCCATCCTCCTTGAAGACGAGTTCGCGCTTCTCGTTATCGTTCTCGTTCTTTCCGCGACGACGGTTCTTACCTCCCTATTTTTGAAAGAGTCAGAATTTGTGTTCAAGTCAAATACGGTGTGATAGACAATAGGGTTTATCAGAATGAGGCCCAATTCCAAACCCATCACCCTAGATTGCCGGTGATGGTGGCGGGGTGGCACATTCCAACAAGGAGGGGCTGAATATTTTGCGCGCTTACCTTTCCCTTGTTCTTGGGCATGGCGACGGGAAGCGACGTTCACTGGACTTGAGTCTGAAAGTGTGTCGGTGTCTCGTTTGTTTCTGCGTCAAAATGCGACGTAGAAAGATGATGCGATATCCCCGGAGAGTCTGGTTGAAAGAAGAGGAAGGAAGTAAGGTGGGGGGAGGATCTGTGCCGATATATCAAACCTGCTGCTTAGCTAATCAGGCACAAAGCGACTGCTGGTGGCGGAGTGTAGCCTGATTTTGTAGGCAAACATACTTCACCGCTCGATGAGTTTGGGCAGAAAAAAGATACCAGAGGCATGATGAAGCAGTCAATAACCAGAAACAAACGTGGACTTCGGGGCATGGGGAAGACCTTTGTTCCCGGTATTGATCCTACTTCGGTCTTCTTACTCATGACTGCTCTCGTGTTATTTTGAAAGCCACGCTGCCGGATTAATATCACGACTGGTCATTACGGCCCAACCACGGCCACCTGATCCCAAGCACCATCGTGCTGCCTCTGATGCGCTCAACGAACCCTCCTTCTCTTCCGCTATGATACCGATGCGCTGCCGCTATTCAAATTCTCCTCGGCCTCACCTGGCGAACCTCTACGACTATCCTTGATCCTCCCACGATGAAGTTCCTCGCTTCCTCGGGCAATTTGCTCGTCCGATACACTTCCGAGCCCATGATTCCCCCAGTTGCCCAGCGCTACATGAACTCTCCGGTCCATCCGATTCGCCCAAAGATTGCGTATATGTATGAACATCGCGATCCGAATACTCTTTGGTGGCGGGTGTCGGTATCGCAATTGAACCAGTTCAAACGGACCGTTCGATCCTGGTGCGCGCGAAGAGCACGCCTTGCTTTCCAGGAAGCTTTAAGGCGACAAGGATTTGATAAACTAGGGCGCCCACTTACTCCGCCAGTTTCCATGGACAAGCAAGCCCTACTAGGGTCTTTGGATGTCACCATACGCCCTTCGAGCGTGTATCACAGCTTCGAGGCCGTGCAGAAAGATGCCGACTTCCTCTTGAAAGGCATTCTGAAGCAGCGAGAAAGGTGGGCTGAGTGCGCCACGCACAAAGACAAGTCTTCTTGAGTGTCTTGAAGGAGCTTGTAGATCAAACATGTACAACACCATTCTGTATTATACTGACCGATAGCCTGTCTATACCTGTACATTAAAGGCGGGAGCATCATTGCATGGCGTTTGGGAGGCTGCGATTAGCCTGCATCCAATATTTAGTCTCTATTTGGAATTTCACAACTCAAATATCATCTATCTTCGTAATTCAAAAATTGTTAGCCACGTTGTATCAGTACTGCTTGATGGCGGAGAAGGTAAATATAGAAGCGGCCGTATCTTAGCTCCCGTTGCCTCAAGCCTCGCTAAATGCCGATCTGGCGGAAACAACGGGGCTTTGATCACCGAGTTCTCCTTCAACTCCAACCACCACCTCCATCCTCTCCCATTCCTGCAGATTTTCCAATTCACCATGCTGGTCTCCCTGACTGTTGGCAAGGTGGACGCAGGCGTCGCAGTCCTCTTGACCCAGGACAACCGCCTGGTGAGCTCCCAACCCCTGGTGGCCTAGACTGTCAGACATGGAGCAGGTTGTTCACGACTTTGCGCCTCTGCGCAACGCAAATTATCACAATGCCTTGCTAATTCAGCCTTTTCTACGCAGATTGAATTCCCCTCGGTCCTTCTTCCCAACGGTATCTCCTCTGGCAGCATTGTTGACATTACTGTTGCGCGCAACCATGCGGCTGAGACAGCCAACGCCTCCGCCTTCCACTCTCTCCAGAAGCGCATCCTGAATACCTACGGTGTCAAATCCCCCTCTGCTCCAATCCTGCGTCTCCGAAATGCCACTCAGACCTCCCTTGTTCTCGAATGGGATCCCATCGACTTGGCAACCGCCTCTCTGAAATCGCTCTCCCTATACCGCAACGGCTCCAAGGCGGGCTCGATACCCCGCCCCCTCGAGACGCGCAGCACCAAGATCAGCGGCCTGGCTGTTCACCATGAGTACACATTCCACCTCGTCTTGCGCACAACGGCCGGCACCTACCAGTCGGAGAAATTGACGTGCCGGACGCACAAGATGACCGATCTGTCCGGTATAACTGTCACCGCTGGTGTTCTCGACCCGCAGCGTAAGGAGGCCCTTGGACTTGCATTGGATCGCATTGGAGGCAAAATGATTGACTCTGTTCGCATTGATACCACCCACTTTGTCTGCGCGGAGGGGCGCGGCCCGCTCTGGGAGAAGGCCGTGGAGATGAACATCCCAGTCGTGGTACCTGAGTGGGTGGATGCGTGCGAGTCTGAGGGAACAATTGTGGGCGTGCGTGATTACTATCTGAATGCGGACCCTAAAGCGCGCAAGCTGGGTACACTTCACGGCTCTTCTCACCAACGAACCACCTCGACCTTGTCTGCATCGTCCAATGTCAACCAGGGCCGGCCTAGTCCCCAGCCACCGATTAGTGAAGAAGATCCCGCCGCAGCTGAACCACCTCTCACACCGTTCCCGGGTGGTGAGATGAGCATCCAGCCGCAAGCTCAAGCTCAGGAAGTTGGAACGGAAGACGAGGAGGAAACGCCTCCACCTCCACCTCCGAAGGACGAGTCCGATAGCGCAGATGAGCCTGTGCAACTGAATGGAGACGCGGAAGATGTAGATGGATCAGACGAGATAGAAGAAGAGACAGGCAAAGAGAGTACTCTTCCACAGCATATGCCCGAGGGAGACTCTGAGCCTACAAGTAATGATGAGCACGACAAGGGCAAGGGCAAAGAGGGCGAAGGAGACTTCAACGAAGTCCCACTCTAGTGTCCTTGCATCTCCTCCTCTTCCGGTCTATCACGGCACGTCTACGATTATATCCAGTACAGGTTCATGCTGTTGAGTTTGGGCGCTTTCCATACTAGGTCCGGGATTGATTTATGAGTATCAAAGCCCGACCCTGATTTTATGTCTCTTGCTGTTCTTTTGTATAGTAGATGCCCTTGTTTAATGCGATTTGAAATCAATCATCCTCTGACACTGCCATCTTGGCCAACTGAAAACCGAAAGTAGTTGTCATTCTATATGAGTTCTATCATCAACAGTCGTAAATGAGCACTAAATGCCTGCCCAATGCATGTCCAAGAGCCAAGAAATCAGGCTTTTATACGAGGGATAAAGCCCTTCCGAGAAACGCTGTGCAATCGAGACACCCTCCTTGGCTGATAATAATCTAAAGCACGTTCCGCACCACGTCGTCGATAGCTTGGGCCACGTATGCGACGTTCTTCTTGCTCACTAGAATCGTTCAAATTAGTATGGTAGTGGCGAGGAACTAAGGTGGCAAAACTTACAGCCGCTAATGGAGGCGCGGCCAGACTTTAGCAGGTAGACGTGGTATTTATCCTTAAGGGCGTAGACTTGCTTAGGAGTGAGACCAGTGTAGGAGAACATGCCGTTCTATATCATGGGTTAGCAAATTGCCACATACTCAAGTGCATGAGGAGATGAGTATTTGAGATGAGTATTTACCTGCTCGATAATGTGCTCCCAGGTGCCGGGGGTCCTCAGACGAACAAGCTCATCATAAAGGGCCTGGCGCATGGACTTGATACGCGAGCTCATGACCTGCAGATCGTGGTGCCAGTCGGCGACCAGCTCATCGTTGGTCAAGATCTTCTTCACGATGCTGCAGCCAATACGAGGGCCCATGGAGAACTCGCCGCGAATCAGGTGGCAAAGGTTGTTAACGATAACGTCGCGGATGGCAGTAGCATTGCGGTTTGTCACGTAGTGGTAAGCGCCAACACGCTGGCCGTACAGACCAAAGTTCTTGGAGAAACTCTGCGCCACACACATCTCCATGTCGGGCTTGTTATTGAAGAAGTAGCGCACGGCCCAGGCGTCTTCCTCGACGGAGCCAGAGGCGAAACCCTGGTAGGCAGAGTCGAAGAAGGGGAAGAGCTTCTTGCGATCGCACAGGTCAGCAATGGCAATCCACTGCTCCTTGTTCGGGTCCAGACCGGTGGGGTTGTGGGCGCAGGCGTGCAACAGGACGACATCGCCCTCCTGAGCCTCGTTCTCCAAGGTCGACATCATCCCCTCGAAGTCGAAGGACCGCGTGGCAGCGTGGTAGTAGGGGTATGTCTTGCGCGGCACGCCAGCCAGCTCCCAGATGGTCATATGGTTGGCCCACGACGGGTTGGACAGCCAAACGGTGGGAGGCTTCATGTGGTGGGCGAGGAAGATGGCACCCAGGTGATTGGCACCGGTGCCAGCGACGGTCTGTACGGTAGCAATGCGTGCCTTGGCCGCCTCTTCACTCTGTTGTCCCGTGAATCCAAACATCAGATCCCGCGCAATTGGCAAGAAAGGGATGTCGCCCTCGATCGCTGTGTATTCGTGTCGCATGAGATCATCCTCCTCGGCCAGCTCCTTCTCAGCCTTCTGAACGACCGGCAAGGGCCAGGGCTTTCCATCATCTGTGCGGTACACGCCCACCCCGAGGCTGACCTTTTGTGGGAAGGTATCGGCAAAGTAGGCGGCGTTCAAAGCGAAGATCTCGTCCGGCGGCACGGGGGCCACGGTAAGGCGGGTAGGAACAGACTTGACCATTGTGTGTTATATGAGCTGTAATCGGAATTGAAGGTGTCTCGTTCGATTTAGTGTCGTGTCGGTTGATTGCTTCACGGGAAAGAATTGCGAAGTATACCTTTGGCGACCGGTTCGGAGATCGGTCGAAACTTTTGAGTCCCCCCGGTATCGCAGGGCTGGTCCGCCCCGGGACTGCCCTATGGCAAAATTGCGCCGCGGGAAGTACCGCTTACGAACGGACCCGCGTCTTCTTTGAACAATCCGGATTTCCAGCATGGTGGTTGGGGTTGTCACGAGGTCCAAAATGCCGTCGATAGCCTTGCCAGTGATGATGAGAGAGATGAAGATGATGAAATCTTGGAGAAGTTCGATCTAAGCCGGGGGTTAAAGTTTAAGACAAGCGTGGGACGTCAGCTTATGCAAGCTGGCTGCTGACGCTGCTCTGCCCTGCCCCTCAGGCCTCTTGTTTCTCGTAAATGGAATAGCAAGAACGAACACCTTTGAAACAATTATTTCATTACTTCATCATGCTCCTCAAGCTTTAGTAGTGTATTCTGATGCTAGATCAACTATACGGTCATAGCCACAGGATCTCCGACAACAGATCATTCAAGTCCGAGATCTGTACTATGCTAGCGTTTGAACCCTGGCGTTTCGCCATTTCTGGGGGCTACCTAGTATCTCTTTTTATTTTCTTCAGTTTGACTCCCGCGCCAGTCTGTCTACATATTTACAAATTTGCTCAAATTTTGACAAGTTGTTGTCATTGATCTAGCTTCTTCGACAGCACGACCACGACGAGTTCCACTTGATCGATACCTTGAAATCTGTTATGTGAGATAGTCGAGGTTTTATTGGTCAGAGCAGTCACGCTATTTTCACTGATTATCTACACCCTGAAATCTGGAAAATCAATTGTTCGTTAACTTGGCGTCTTCATTGTCATGACACGGGGCGGAATTGCCCCAATATATGTCTCCAGACTCCCTGTATTGTAGCACCGCGCCGAAAAATACTTCGCACCATAAACTATTACATTAGCGTCTACCAAAAACTACCCAACCACCTGGGCACGGTTCAAAAACTAGTATCAATCCCGCTGAGATATCAATGTTGCAGGCGCAATGGAAGCACAGAGTGGAAAGAGGACGATACCGGAACCGGGAACAGCGGTCCAGTCTGGAATACTTCAACCGGACCTAGCTACACAAAAATCCATGCAATCCGCCTGTCTGTCGCGATTTTCCGATTGTTCAGCCAAGCAGGAGGCTCCTGATTTATGAATGATGGTTGACCCCGCGTTGCTCGTACCACCATGAGGGGACCAATCGGTTGATTATGTCGTCGTAGTTCTGTGCCTGATTAGCTCCTTCCCCTCACGATTGAAGATCATGCAAGCGCTTCTTAACCAGTCCAAACGAACCCTACACTCTTACGAACTACACATCTCCATCATGGCTCAAGATCCCCCCGCAAATGTGATCCAGCTCTGCATCAATGGCGAGCACAAGAAATCCTTCAGCCACTTCACAATAGCATCCCTGGAGAGCTGCTGGCTCGATTTGATCCCATCTACATTGAATACTACTACAAGAACAACGTGGGCCGTCTGCATACCCACGAAGTTCCCATCGAAGAGTTCCGAAAGAACCCAGCCCGATACATGATCTCCTATGGGCGTGAATTCGGCCCAGATGTCTATTGCATCTCAGAGCAAAAATGCCCTGTGAAAGGAGGAGAGATCACTATCCGAATCTTTGAGCCTGCACCGAAGAAGGATACGCAAGGCCAGCTGAAGAAGAGAGCAGCCTATGTGAACTTCCATGGAGGTGGATGGGTGTTTGGCGGTCTCATGGTCGACCATGACTTTTGCAAAAGGGTTGTTCATAACCTTGATGGAGAGGTTGTTGCATTTGATGTGGACTACCGGCTTGCACCTGAGCATCGGTATCCGATTCCCGTGGAGGACTGCTGGGCTGCATTCAACTGGGTGAGTAAGGATTGAGACTTCACAGTTCCCAGTACCCCAGAGCGATTAGACTGATGCACAAGACCAGATTCGTTCCCAGAAAGCAGTGGAGTTTAATCTTGATCCAGACCGTTTCGCTGTGGGCGGTGCATCTGCTGGAGGCCATCTGGCCGCGGTCCTGGCTCATCTCTGTCGCGATGCAGGAATTCCTCTTCGACTTCAGATCTTGACTGTTCCCGTCTGTGATATGCACAGCACCTTTACCCCCGAGGGCGTGTTTGATCGCAAGAACTGCCCGTATGATTCATACCGGGAGATGGAGTTCGCGCCTGTCCTTCCAGCTGCACGAATGGCGTACTTTCACCGTCATTTTCTTGGGATGCCTCGACCAGCACCGTCGAAAGATGTAAGCATCGGCCATACTCAATAGCTCATGATTGACTCAATCTGACTGATACTCCTTAGGACTGGAAGATCTCGCCCATGTTCGCACCGAATTTCTCGAATCTAGCTCCCGCACTGGTCTCGACGGCGGAACTGGATCCGTTGCGTGACGAAGGCGAATGTTATGCCGCTAAGCTCAAGGCTGCCGGCAATCGAGTAGAGGTCAACCGATTCCTTGGAGCTCCACACACATTTGCTGGACTGGACGGCATCCTGGACACTGGGCGCGAATACAATTGCAGGGTGATTGCGGCTCTGAAGGAGGAGCTTCTGGCATAGAGTGCAGGTCTAGGAGGGTTCGCTCTATCAGGATGCCGTTTTAGCTTCGGTCATTGTTAGACAGGGGAATTCCGGAAGTGGAAACAACGAGTATGAGTTAGCCTTCGTCTATTATTATTGTATCAGAATTGAACTGTTATCTGATCTCCGTGATCAACCAGGATTAGTGGAAGCTGTGGGAAGGGATGAATGTATAGGAGCCGTGACCATACCGTACGCCGAAATACCAGACTTTCTCCCGAAAGAACCAAAAGATACCGGCAATTGACTCGGGCGCTGGGCCTTGCTCGGTCATGCGGATACCGGGAAGTTTCGGCTGGTCTGATCGGAGTCTCAAGGCCATCTCAACTTTTTTGTTCTGCTTCCTTTTCTTAAAGGAGACTCGCGGTCACCTAAAACTTGACCCTCACAAACCGCCCTTTGAGTGCGCCAATTGGGCCTATTTGCCTATTTCTACCTTGTCTTGTCCACCACCGGCAAATCCACGGTCACAATGAACCCTGCCTCCTCCCGAGCCGCGGTGCGCTCGATGGCCACCCTGACACATGCGGCCAGAGCTGCCAACCCCGCAGCCCGCAGCGTTCTGTCGGTTGCTGCTCGCTCCCCGGTCTTTGCTAGCCGGGCCCTGAGCTCCAATAGCCGTCAGTTCGGCCAATTCCCCCGCCTTCAGCTCCTCAACAACAACAAGAGAGCCTTCAGCACCACCGTCAACATGGTAAGGGGAGGCGTGATCAATAGCTCTTTGGACTCGGGTCACTGATGCGCTGAATCTAGTCTACTGCTTCTCGCACTGAAAGCGATGCCTTTGGTGAGATCCAGGTACGTGACGTTGATCGGAATTGCCCCTCATCGTCCCTTCATGCAACAAGCTAACATGGGGGTTTGCGATGATTCAGGTCCCCGGAGACAAGTACTGGGGTGCCCAGACCCAGCGGTAAGACGACCCTAAACGATATCGATGGCGAATATTGGAATTATAGACACAAGGGCAGGAAATGCTGATATACAATTGGCAACAGCTCCCTGGGCAACTTCGATATCAACCAGCCCCAGGACCGCATGCCCGCCCCCGTTGTCAAGGCTTTCGGTATCCTCAAGGGTGCTGCCGCTACTGTTAACATGAAGTACGGCCTTGGTGAGTAAAGCATGTCATACGGCAACGAATCCGATCGGGAGCACGGGTTTCTGATAATCATCTTCTACGTCAGACCCCAAGGTCGGTGAGGCCATCAAGCAGGCCGCCGCCGAGGTCGCCGAGGGTAAGCTGCTGGATCACTTCCCTCTGGTCGTCTGGCAGACCGGCTCCGGTACCCAGTCCAACATGAACTCCAACGAGGTCATCTCCAACCGCGCCATTGAGATTCTCGGCGGCGAGATGGGCTCCAAGAAGCCCGTTCACCCTAACGACCATGTCAACATGTCCGCTTCCTCCAACGACTCTTTCCCCACCGTCATGCACATTGCTGCCGTTCTCGAGCTCGAGAACACCCTGCTGCCCTCGCTTCAGAAGCTGCGCGATGCTCTGCAGGTCAAGGTGGACAAGTGGGAGAAGCTGATCAAGATTGGCCGTACCCACTTGCAGGATGCTACCCCCCTCACCCTGGGCCAGGAGTTCTCTGGCTACGTCGCCCAGCTTGAGCGCAACGTTGAGCGCGTCCAGGCTTCCCTCCCCCACCTGCGCTTCCTTGCTCAGGGTGGTACCGCCGTCGGTACCGGTCTGAACACCTTCAAGGGCTTCGACGAGGCCGTCGCTGCCGAGATCACCAAGATGACCGGCACCGAGTTCAAGACTGCCCCCAACAAGTTCGAGGTCCTGGCTGCCCACGACTCCATCGTCGAGGCCTCCGGTTCCCTCAACACCCTGGCCGGCTCTCTGTTCAAGATCGCCCAGGATATCCGCTACCTCGGTTCCGGCCCTCGTTGCGGTCTCGGCGAGCTGATCCTCCCCGAGAACGAGCCCGGCTCCTCCATCATGCCCGGCAAGGTTAACCCCACCCAGTGCGAGTCCTTGACCATGGTCTGCGCCCAGGTGATGGGTAACCACGTCGCTGCCACCATCGGCGGCATGAACGGCCAGTTCGAGCTGAATGTCTTCAAGCCCGTCATGATCCGCAACCTGCTCCACAGCGTGCGCATCCTGTCCGACGGCATGGACAGCTTCCGCCTCCACCTAGTTGATGGCCTCGAGGCCAACGAGACCCGCATCAACTCCCTCCTGCACGAGAGGTATGTTCCATCGCATTGACCCTTCCATTCCCTCCTTCTTCCATTCTTCCACCCCCCTTGTTCAATAGTCCAAACTCTAACCTCTTTTTAACTAGTCTGATGCTCGTGACCTGCCTGAACCCGGTCATTGGCTACGACATGGCCTCGAAGGTGGCCAAGAACGCCCACAAGAAGGGCATCACCCTCAAGGAGAGCGCCATGGAGCTCAAGGCTCTCAGCTCCGAGGAGTTTGACCAGCACGTCCGCCCCGAGCTGATGCTGGCCCCCAAGGAGAAGAAATAAACGGATCGCACGCAGCTGTGGTGTGTGTCCGAACCTCTGTGCTACTATAGACAAGTCTTGATCGGCTTTGTATACTGAAAATTTTATTTGCATCGGATCTAATACTGCTTGGTGGTTGTAGACCAACTATTAGCTGGTAATCGTTGATGAGGATGTGCAGTCACGGTATTGTAGGTTTTGTAGAAGGTGCACTATTTGAGTTGGATGCGTTAGAGTATTATCTGGAAGCATAGCTCCAGAGACCTTTCTCAAATGTAGAATATTGTCTAATATTATATGAATTCTTCTTGCATATTATACAAGATTGGAGTCCATTTTGGAAGTGAGTGCTTCTGATAAGAATCAATACCTTACACAAGCGCTGGAAGCTGTAACGTAACACCTTGTGGCTGGTGTGTGTGATGACTTGAGGTGGACGACCAAGACGGCCAAGGTCAGTAATATAGCAATTATCTATTCGGTCATGTTTTTCTTATCGTTCTCGTAGCTCCTCTGTATATCTGTTTAATCCACGTGTTGGCCCCGAGGATATTAATAGCACTTCTCCAGGGCCACTCTTGTCTCACCATCTCAGCCACTCGACCCGTGGAACCACATCCAAGGCTGCTTGTTGATGGTTCCTGGTCTCCTCGCTTGGCTTCAAATTGCGCTTTTCCGTCTTCTTTCATAGATAATTCTCCTTTCTGACGTTCTGCACATTCTCAATTCCTCCTTCCTTCCTTCTCTCCTTTCCAACAATCCGCCGCACTCCCCAACTCTGCCCGCTCAGTCGATCTCCCTTGCGCTAAAACCCCGCCGTCTCAACTCTCAACCCCATTCGCCCCTTCCCTGAAACCGATCAACACAAAAACCCACTGCGATCGCAATTCCTCTTCCTCCCGACTTTCCCTCCATCTCCATCTCCATTTCCATCTCTCGAAAATTCCCAATCGACTGTCCAAGCACTTCCTCGCCAATAATCAACCCACCACCACCACCACCACCACCATAAAATCACAATGACCACTCCCGCTGTCACAGCAACCACCATCCCCCAACAACCCACCAAGCCCATCATGAACTCCACCGTCACCCCCGTCGACATCGAGAACGACGGCCCCCTCTTCCCATGCTCCCTAATCTCGCCCGAAATCATCTCCATCCTACCAACCGACTACACCATTCGCCCACTGCGCCGCTCCGACTACAAGCGCGGCTACCTGGATGTCCTGCGCGTGCTGACGACCGTCGGCGAGATCGCCGAGGACCAATGGAACCAGCGCTATGACTGGATCGCCTCCCGCAATGATGAGTACTATATGCTGGTCGTGTGCGATGGCCAGGACAACATCGTCGGGACGGGTAGCTTGATCGTGGAGCGCAAGTTTATTCACTCCCTCGGTATGGTGGGCCACATTGAGGATATTGCGGTGGAGAAGAATCAGCAGGGCAAGAAGTTGGGTCTGCGGATTATTCAGGCCTTGGATTTTGTTGCGGAGAAGGTTGGCTGCTATAAGGTACTTTCTTTTCTCGCTGTTCCCTTTTGATTTGGGTCTTTTACTGTTTATGTTCTCTGGCTTGCCTTTATCATGGAGTGACACGAGCTAACAATTGTGCAGAGCATTCTTGACTGCTCCGAGGCCAATGAGGGCTTCTATGTCAAGTGCGGCTTCAAGCGAGCCGGTCTGGAGATGGCTCACTACTATTGAGCGGGCTCGAAGCTACTTTTGTGTCAACTTGTTTCTCGGTTTGGGGTTACCGGCGTTCGGGGCATTCGAATAATCGGCCCTCCAGGGCTTGTACTTTGTGCACAGCACAGTTATATTTCTGGAAAAACAAATCGCGCGCTTCTTGTGACCGAGGTCAGCGACCATCACTGGAAACCCTAGGATCGCAGTGGGTGCACAACCATCGTCCTCCAAGGTCTCAGAGCGATCGTTCCTGAGGATGAACCAACCTATCTACCCAGGTCCGTTCCAGCATCTTGTGCCTGGCATGATGACAGAGGTGTTGTCATTGAAGCTGCGGCATTGGAGGTTCCTGGCAGTTGGTTTTTGTTAGACCATTTCGTGTGTACCATAGTGCGTTTCGTGGTGTCAAGAAAAGGTTGGACTATCTGGAATTGATACTCGAGATACTCGAGAAGGCGGAATAGGTTAGATGTTAGATGTTAATAGACGCTTGCAAATGCAATCAACCAGTTCAAATAAATGACCCTTTAATTTCTCACTAAGATCCCTACGTCATGAACTGTCCAAACCATTATCCCCAGAATGGATGGATTGACGTTCAATTACAACCAATCCACCGCAATTTCTATAAGTAGAATACCAATTAGCAGGTCTTCCATAAGACCTATATAGTACGGCCCAGTCATGTGGAATACAACAGGCCAAACAGCCCAAAGGACATAAGTCTCAAGTGTAAAAACACAGAGAGACCCAAGAGAACACACAATTTCTTGCGGTGGTTTGAAAATTTTTCGTAGATTCCTTTGTTCCCATTTTTCTGCATAAACAATGTTCCAGAATCAAGGGTAAAAAAGTAGTTTGGCCCGTAGCCCCGTCCTCATAGAGACAGTCGAACTCCAGCACCCGAGTTCCGCAAGTTCCATCATATCGCGAACCGTCAACACGAAAGAAACAAAAACACCCTCTCTTTTGCCCCAAATCCAATTGCCAGACCTGGTCGTCGTCATAATTTTTGTTTGGTTGGAAATAAAAATTTAGCGAGACTTGGCGGCGACCTTGGGGGCAGAGCCCTTGGCACCCTGCTTGGAGGAGATGCGCTGAGCACCACCCTTGGCGGCGGCGGCAGCGTTCTTGGCCTTGTCGGCCTTCTTGGCGGCGCTGGCGGCGGCCTTCTTCTCCTTGGCCTCGTTGATGGCCTGCTTGCGGGCGGCCTCGCGGGCCTCGGGGCGCTGGGTGCGGCGCTCCTTGATCTGCTCGAGGGAGGCACCGACGATGGCACGCTGGTGCTTCACGACGCGGCGGGTGCGCTTCTTGGCGACCTCCTGTATAATGACGAAAAAAAGACCTGGTCAGTATTTCCATCTTAAAGTGGTTGGTTGTCCATCCGTTTCATGATATAAAATCGGTGTTCCCCCCTCTTGCGCCGTCTGTTCGAGTATCGCAATGTCGAATTGTGCGTCTGATCAGACGGCCTTCTTATATTCCACCATCTGCAAGCCCAAACGAAAACCAAAGGAGGGGTTGATAACGGACCTCAGAGATACCCTTGCGGTGCTGGCGGCGGTAGAGGACAGTCCAGGAGATGCGGCGGGGGTTCTTCCGTTGGAGGAAGAGCGACTCGGACTTGCCATTCTGGAAGCGGAAGATCTTGCTGTCGCCACGGACGTACAGCTTACCCTATAACGAGCAAAAGACACAGAGCATTAGCGAACCGAAATAACTCAGAACTTGACTATCCCGTGTGCAACAAGGTTCGAACCAATCGGCGGGACGCAGGTCGTGCGGTAGGTGAGTGAATGGGTGGTGAGATCGCAATGTCGAAGTCGCCGTCGTCGTTGAAATCGCACAGTTTCCCGTTCATTCTCCTCCCACACGCCGACGAGGGGTGAATTTAAAGAACGCACCTTGCCGGGGTAGATCTTCTGGCCGCTGAAGGAGTCGTCGTAGGTACGCATCTTGACGGGGGATGCGCTGACGAGGTGTCGGTTGGCGTTTGGTGATGGTCGAAAATCGGGGATCGCGGTGTTCTTCCTGGCTGGGTCCAATTGTGGTGCGCCTCGCTAAAGTGCGACACGTGATCTGGGCTGCCCTTTTGCGGATGATAATCACCACGTGACCGTGTTATCGGCACTGGTGGGGGATTCGGGGACCTGCACTAGCCCTATTTGGGAAATGCCTACAACAATTACAGTACAAACGAGAGGTTGGCAGGTCATTATTACCTTCTACTGTGTATTTATAACTAGGTACTGACCCATTTACTTCTTTTCCATCCTCTGTCTAATATGGTCTCAACACTCGAATGTCTAACAATTCACGTGTTCCACTATGCCATCTATTGAGTGCAGACTCGAATCTCTTTTGGAATGCAGCGTGATGGCATTGCTCTTAACCGCAGTGCTCAGTATTTTCTATGCTATGCTGCGAACATTCCCTCAACTTTGTCTGGAGTTTGGAGAAATGTTTGTTGAACTTATCCGAAGTGCCCAAGAATAGGAACGGGCTCAGCAGGAATTTTTTAAAGCATGGCAGGGCTAAGGACCGTGTGCAGCCAAGAAATGAAGTTTCCTGAGACTGTGAAACCATGCGAGCATCGCTAAACATCTATGGTTCAATCAAATGGCCTCTGAGAGTGTTAAGTTGCTGATAAGTCCTATTTATGTGGTATCTTGAGGTAGGTGACGATGCTAAACGGATTTTGCTACCGATAATACATTCTGTCTAAAGAGCTTTGAATGACCAAAAACTGACCTAAATGGCCTCAAAACTGCAATTCCTGTACCAAACCCAATTTTAACTCTTCTTGACCAGTCTTGCGCAGAGTGCGACAGAACGGGAATAGAACTGACCAATTCGAGTACCGGAGGAGACCAGAGGGCGCACTTATTCACAATACCTTTGGTGGCAGTTTCTTACTCTATCTTCATATTCCAATCGTATTATCTTCACTCACCTCTTGCATGACCATCAAGTATCTCACAAAGGTTCAGAATGCGTTCAACAAGAGCAAGTCCTTTGGTCCTGACTATAGTCCTTGCATTTATAACATTCTTCACCGTGGGGCTATGTCTACTCACCACGGGAATATGTCTGCTCCTGTCCATAGAAGCAGCGCTGCATGCAAACCAGAGCTTCGATAACTTTCGGAGAATCTTAATCTGCCTCCCATTACTGATCTTTGTGGGGTGCTTTATGCCGATTCGATTGATCGATACTGTCGTAAGTTTCTTCCTTCTCGTTGACTAGTGAGATCGTTAATAACATCAGCTAGAATGGATGGGATTCTTCAGCCAACACTCATGATGATCTTGAATTTCGCTTCGAAGTTGAGGATCGTGGCCGACAACGATCAGAAGTCGAGCATAGTTTGCCGAGATCCTTTCCCTCGGAATCCTTTTCATCGGAAACGGCATCTTATTCGCTCCATAACTGGATCGTTGGGCTGCCCTCAGCGGGACCATCTTTGGGTTCAGAATCTGGTCGGACAAACTCCGAAACCGCTCAATCATTTACTTCTGACTCTGAGTCAACATTAGTAGAAGCCCGGGCGGGTTCTCTGAGTCGAAGTATTTGAAGCCTGAATCAAGCCATTTGGAGAATGCCAAACGAGAGACGCTTCAACTTCCGATCTTTCAAAAAATCCTTCTAAAGGCCCTTTTGGTTTCTTTTCGAGATATTTCGTGCACTATCTCTTACTTAATCTTTTTAGCGAGACTGATGAGTTGGTTCTGAAGTTTGGTCGGGGTTTCAACTATGGATCAATGTCTATTTCTCTTGTTGCCATGCGACGGATATATTGGACCTCCTAAGGGGCTGTTGCTAGACGTGAAATTTGAATTTGCGATGTTATTGCTTATTAATTTGAATTTGAATTAATCAATCAGGAGCTGAAGAACTAACCTTTCTGTTCTAATTGATGTGTATATCAAGTTTTCCAAATGTCTGCAGTATCCCCAGTTCTACCGTAGATCAGCAGTGGACTCTGATGTGACGTTCCAAAGTGCAGGAATAGAGCCAATCTAGCAGTCATGGCTGCCAGTAGAACTGCTGCAGGCTCTTCAAATTTAGTCTTCTCACTGGTTTTAAAAGCAGCGTAGCAAGGAGCCAATGAAAATCCAGCAAAGCTTTCAATAGGAGTGAAAGCACAATGTAAAACAGCGACACGATCCCCCGGCTTCAAGTGGAACACATTACTACCAGCAGCTTCCAAAATCCTGGCCATATCATCACCAGGGCTTGGAGTCCTAACTGCTCAGATACTTTCCAACTCTTAGGATTTGCCGCGGCTGCAAGCACTCGGATAAGCAGCTCATCAGGACCTGGCTCGGGAATTGGTGAATCAATGAGCTCCCGTTCGCCATACCTTCATTAGCTGAGTGACTGTATATAGTGATGGGAGTCCATACCAGGCGAGATGACAAGTTCTTTCTTACTGAAGTACTGGAAATGAAACGTGGCAGGCAGACTATGCGTGCCCTGATCATAACAGACTTCTATGGGAGTGATAAGGGGAGGCGTTGTGGACAGTCTGAGGGATTGGGTGACGAGGGACAGCACCTGGCTCCCAACCTTAGGGATGATTGTGATCATGGAGAAGCTTGCAAAGACGGTTCATTTGCATCAGATGAATTGCGGTTCTTGCAGATCCCGAGAGAAGCCTATATAGATCGGATTGGTAGACACTGCCTTGGAAATAAAGTGTTAACGAACTCATAGTAGTTTAACTATGAGAAAGAAGTGGATGATGCTGGTTGGATCTCAAACGTCGTGTTCAATTGAACCTATTGATTGAAATTTATATACACAACAATCATATATGAACACACATATACCCTCCAAGAGGAGGCTCATTCGTTTTTTAAAAGGCGACCGCCCTCTTGCCAGGCGCCTGGTAGTGCCCACCAGCCGGCTTCAGCAGCATCAGAGAATCGGCAACCTTGCCGTCATCTCCGCTGATGTACTCCCACTTGAGAGCAGTCGAGTTAACGACCGTCAGCTTGGTGAAGCCAAAGTTCTTGGTGTTGAGGACGGCAGTGATGTTCTGCTGACTCTGTCCGGAGCTGAGCACGCTGTGGCTCTCGATATTGCCGGCGGCACCGTTGATGATGTGAGTCATGGATTTGCCGGGGTTGGTACGGTAGGTGTTGTTGTTGATAATGGATGCAGTGTCGATGGTACCGTTGTTGCCGAGAGGGAAGAGACGCTCGTACCAGTGGATGTGACTGTATACTAGTTAGAGAGGAGTCTGTTGAGTGTGAGGAATTGTGATGACTTGCCCAGAAACATAAGCGTCCACGCCGTTTTCGAGCAGCAGGCTCTCGAATGCCTGGCGGACGTGCAGCTCGTAAGACGAGAAGGAAGAGCTGTACATGGGACGGTGGCTCATGGCAATGACCCAGGGGGTCTTCTTGCGGTCCACACTCTCCAGATCCTTCTTCAACCACTTATACTGCTCATAAGACTTGGTGTCATTGGCACTGCCATCGACAGCACCAAAGGGACCGCTGTCAGTGATGAAGGTCTCGGACTCCTTGGGGTGGGTTTCGTTGCCGGAGATATCCTCGGCAAAGGACCACTCGGGGCTGTTGGCGAAGTCGGTTTCGCCGTCCAAGGAGATGAAGTGGGCGAGACCGTAGTCGAAGGAGTACCAGAAGTTGCCAACACCGTTGCTCTCCTTACCGGGCATGCGGAAACGGTGCTGGTAGGCAGTGAAGTTTCTACGTATCGTTTAGCAACCCGAATTTCTCTAAAAGAAAAAAAAAGGGGGTCTTTTCTTACCTCTGGGAAGGCGGGCAGCTGTAGTAGGTCAGACCATCCTTAGCAGCAGTGGTGTTGGGCTTGTTGTCGTTCAGGTAAGAAGTAAGGACATTGCCGGGACCGTCAAACTCGGCGCAAGCAGCCTCGTGGTTACCGGGCATAACCATGTAAGGAATCTTCTTAGTGACATCACCCATCCACTGCTGCCACAGATCCCAGTTAGACTCGTAGAGGACGCTCATATCGCCACCCAGGGGGCCACCCTGGTTGGGAATCTCGCCCTTGGGAAGAGGCTGCTTGTACTCATCTGGGAGGGGAGTACTACCGGGCAGAGTAGTGCTGGTACCGTTGTAACAAACGGGCCAGTCATCGGCGCAGGGCAGGATGCCCGAATACCAGTCATCAGCGTAGCTGATATCTCCACCGTGCCAAGCGAAAGCGGTACCCTCGTTAGCAGCCTGAACCAGATACTTGTGAGTACCATGAGCATTGGTGTATCCCATGTCGTTGATAACGGCGACACTGAACTCTTTGGAGTCACCAGCCTTCTGGGCGGTCTTGAAGCTCAAGACCTCAGACTCGGTGGTGCCATTGGCAGCAGGAATCTGGTAATAGTAGGTAGTGCCGGGGTGGAGGTGGTCGAGCGAGACCTCGTGGAAGAATTGACTGCACTGGGTGACGGCCTTGACCTGGGAACAGGAAGGAGTGCGGTCATAGCTGTTCAATCGAGTTACAAGAAAGCTCACGGAGAGTATACGTCGCATTCCAGGGGGGTACTTACGTGTGGGAGAAGCCCGAGGCGACCATGTTCAGGCTCTTAGGGTGCTCTCCATACTTGACCTCTGGAGCGCGACCCAGACCAAAGGGAGTCTGGTAGTGAATGTGAATGCCATCGGGAACGTAGGACAGCGAGATCACATTGACATTGTTGGTGGGGTTGGCGCGGCCAGGCTTCACGGCAGGCGGCTCAACCAGACGAGGGAATCCCTTGCCGTTGCCATTGACGGTGGGATCAACCCAGTCGCCCACTGGGACATCCGGGCCCGTGTAGGGGTACTCGGTGTCGACGGTAGGACGGCCATTGACGGCTGCGGACAGCGCCAACAAGACAGAAGCAGTGGTAGCCTTCATGGTTGAGAAGAACTGGAGCCCGTGTGTCACAACAACGCCTGCCGATCGCGAGGCGGCCAGACTTTATCTACCTGGGGAAGCTGCCAGAGCGACGGACGAGAAACCCGCAGCTGCATCGATAACCGATAATGACCATCATGCCAGACTTGTCCACGTGCAGACGGAAAAGAGCACGATTGGGATTCGGCAGGGGTTGTTTAAACGAGCTTGTCCAGTAGTGTACCTGTTGAACCAAGCAAAATCAAGCCTGCCAAGAGTCAAGCTAAACCCACCACAATCAAGCTAAAGTCGGACTCCGCGCTCGACCAGCGACACATGGGCGCCGCAAGGGAAACTGATTGGCTTTCTGGCGCAGACCAAGGAAACGAGACTTCTCTCAGAAAATGGACAACTTTGATTTGCTGACACAGAAAGGGACGATCCGATCGGCTGTACGTAGTATCTCACCATGGAGCCACTGATGTACCTGCTATTCATTTTAGCCGACAGAGACTGGTTAGCTGGCTGCAGTAATTGTCCATCTCTTTGGTTGATACTTATTTGTGGGATCGTCTGGCATGTTGGGTACTACTACTATATGCAATTTTTTCTACTTCCCCTTCTCGGCGATCTTCCCGGCCGGCGCGGCTCATAGTGCTTATGCGCTTATGTGCTTATGTGTTAGGACTGGCTCTCATAACGTTATGTGCGCTACTCACTGTATAGTATATCGAACCCGGTCCGGTCGTGTCAGAACGATGTCAGTACATAGCGTTCTGACAGATTTTGTCCTTGACTCCTTTAGCCTGTTTGGTTAGCGGGTCCGGGCGCAAGGTTCTATACGATGATCTCGCTCCACGTTATCGATCCTCGGCAGTCTCCGACAAATGCATATTCCAAGTTCGGTTAGTTAACAGGCTTCTTATCCGTGCCTTTTGCCCTCCAATCGTACCGGGCAACTGTACAACATGCTCGTGTAATGAGGCTTGATATTATGTGCCCGTTCAGCAATTCTTCAAAGGATCCACACCTAGTTTCAATGATTATTGAACGACTCCTTCTGGCATTTTAATAGCCCGCCATTGTCCGAAATTTTTATCGTAAGGCAGCCTCTAGGGACCTTCTACATGGCCTAACGTGGCGGAAGTGGACTATTCTATGTTATGCTATGCGTACGGAGCAATACATACTCAAGGCCGTTTGTGGTTCCCTCGAGGATTGGGTCAGATCTAAAGTTCTTTAATGTCCGTAAAGTTGACCTCGAGAAAATTCAAACTATTATTAATTCCATCACTGTGCTAAAGATAAAGTGAAGAACGAAGTTCCTTTGATGTATGGCTGTTCTTGGCTTTTGGAAATCAAGGATTATACACGCTGGTACACCATGTATTTTGAGATTCTCCAATTTTGGAACTTTAAGACTCACATTGCCTGAGATGGTTTCTGGTTTCGCGCCCTAACATGACTACGATACGTCGGTTCAGGGGCATCAAGAAGCGAACGAGGCAATTCAAAGAGCCAATCTTGTCAAGACTGTGATACATACTTCTACCGGACTAACCTTATTCCGACACGCGGGAAAAAAGCCGCGACTGAAGTTATCGGCTCTTCTGTGCAGCAACAGTCAACACCAGGGAGACATGCTGTCTCCGTTGAAGCCGTCTGCTCCGTCGGCCACTCTGCTGCGGTTTCTGCGATCGCAGTCTGGCTTTGCGAGCGGTTCGGCAGCATGTGTGCGGCCCAGACCACAGGCGCCGTGTCATGAGGCACTGACGTCGGTATCCCGAAGAACCTCGAGCTGGGCACGCCAGGATGCATGCCACAGACGCACGACCTTCGACTCGACGGCGCTCTGTCAATCTGATGTGAGACCGAAGCCATCGGCGACACTTTTTTCGTTAGAGTCGCTTGCGCTAACTCGACATGCCTCCACGACTCGTCGTCCATTTCTCCGAAGATTGTTTGATCTCAAACGCGGCAAAACTGCCGACCTCAAGAGTCATCGCAACGAGGGTCCCGCTACGACTGAAGAAGGGACTGAGGGGCTTTTCAATATCGGTAGAGGATTCGCAGCGAAAGCCTCAAACGAGCTTCGCATTCGCTGCACGGAATTTGACAAGAACGGCAACGTCACCCTGGTCAATGGGGACTTTCGCAAGTCAGAACTGATTGCCAAGGTCGGTGCTGTCACTCGTTAAAAATCGGGAACATCTGGCTGACTCTTTACAATAGTATGGCCTCCTACCCCGTGACCTCCGCAAGATCGACTCTTCGACACTGCCTCATATCCTCGTCCGACCGAGCGCGATCTTAATCAACCTGCTGCACCTGCGTGTTCTTATCAAAGCCGACCGTGTGCTTGTATTTGATGCATACGGATCGACGGATTCGTATATGCAGTCGCTGTTTATCTACGATCTCGAGGGAAAGTTGCGCCAGAGGCAATCTCAGGTTGCCCCGGCTGGCCAGGCGCTACCCTATGAGTTTCGCGCTCTGGAAGCGGTTCTCATCAGCGTCACCACTGGCCTGGAGGAAGAGTTTAATGGAGTGAGAGAGCCTGTCGTTCGGGTTCTCCGTGCACTAGAAGAGGACATCGATCGCGACAAGCTTCGACACCTCTTGATCTATTCCAAGAAATTGGGTACTTTTGAGCAGAAGGCTCGCCTGGTGCGAGATGCCATTGATGATTTGCTCGAGGCGGATGATGATCTAGCGGCCATGTACCTTACCGAACGGGCAACTGGCAAGGAACGCGAGGAGGATGACCACCAAGAGGTGGAAATGCTACTCGAGTCATATCACAAGGTCTGCGATGAAATTGTACAGTCCAGTGGTAATCTTGTCACCAACATTCGAAACACCGAGGAAGTGTAAGATCTCCCTTCCATCCCCCTCAACCTGTGCATATCTAATTCAAACCAGAGTGAAAGCAATTCTCGACGCCAATCGAAATTCGCTCATGCTACTCGATCTGAAGGTTAGTATCGGCACCCTTGGCCTAGCCACAGGAACTCTCTTCTCCGCTCTCTACGGAATGAACTTGAAGAACTTTATCGAAGAGTCCGATTTCGGCTTCGGTGGTGTCTCCGCGGTCTGCTTCGCTCTGACTTCATTGGTTTGCGTCTACGGACTCGCCAAACTTCGCAAACTGCAGCGGGTTCGGATGTGGGGTGAGTCTGGAGTTGGCGGCACTTCTTTGTCCCCTATTTCTCCGAGACAGGGCATACGCACTATTCACCGCAACTGGCGCGCCGATTCGATTGAGCCTGTCTGGGGAAGCTTGCCAGGCGAGGCCCGATCGGAGCGCATAAGGCGACTTCGAGAAAATGCTTTCGCTGCTGCAGCTGCTACAGCATCGAGGTTTCCTGATACTTCTTCCGCCGCAACAACGACTTCTGGTTTTGCAGACGCGCATGAATCCTCAAGCATCAAAGACAACCAAAATAGGCCCGACTCTGCTGGCAGGTTCTGACATGAGCGGCAAGGCCTCTGCATAAACTTGTCCGATCACGTTTTCCCTTCCCCTTTTTTTTCTATTGGATATACCTTTTTCACTGCATTATCTCGACATGGCGTTTGGGTCTGGACTCACCAAGTAATAGAATCGTTCTTGGAGAAAGTTCTACTGTCTGAATATCCTGTACATTACACTATAAATCTTCCCTCCAAGCCTCCAATCGCCGCTCGGTCGGGGTCAACAAGTTAATAGAAAGCGGAATACATCAGGAATGAATTATATCATAGATACAAGCTTTTGATCCCGATCCAATCCATACAATTAAGTCTCAAAGCTCGTCATTCGTCTTAATCTGTCGAAGACGCAACATAGCGACTCCATGCGGCTGTACATGCGCAGTCACACGTCCACCAGCCTTGACAGTGCCAACTTTCGAGCCCATCAATGCGTTGGACGTTGGCAATGGCACCTGTGAGTAGACCTTGCTCGCTCCACCCTGGGAAGTCATGTTAATCGGCCGCGTCGCATTCTCACCACCTTGGATAATCGCATTTGCAGTGTCATTGCTCATCCGTCCAGCCCACAGGTCATACACATCCCAGCTACTCTTAGCCTGCGACGCAGTTCCTTCGGGTCCATTCTCCCAGAAAATGTCATTCAGGGTGGCGTTCATGTCGCGGGCCTTCGTTCCAGCGTTCAACAGCAGGACGATTTGGTCACCTCCGCTCAGAGGACCACTGTACATCTGGATCTCTCCGCCGTCGACGTAGTAACGCCAGATCCGCACGGCACTTGAGCCCTGAGGATCCTGGGATACTGCCAGGACGGCGGTGTTCTGCAGGATAGACAAAGTCGGGCCGTCGATCTTGGTCATTACGTTTGTCATTAACATTGGTGACTTCAAGGCTGCCCATAGGCTGAAGTGTGAGATGGCCTCAACGTCAGTAAGACCACCATTTCCGACCACTGTGTGGTTGTAGTCAGCAAACAGCAATCCCCAATTTGTCTGTGCAAGTAGGAAAACTCACGAAGCATATCCAGATCATTCCACGCGCCAGCATATGCCTTGGATGGGTAATATACTGCCTTGTTGAGCACATTCATAACTGAGCAGTGATATCCCGGAAGCTTGCAATCGAGACCGTCCAATTCAGCACAGGGACAGTTTGCATCCACGCGATCCCACACATTGGTCAGGTCACCACTTGTTCGCCAGGAATTGGCGATGGTTGGGGCAAAGTTCCACGGTCCGTCAGAACCCCAATTGCACAGTGAATAGAGGATTGGCCGACCAGTAGCGTTCAATGCCTTACCCATTGCGTTATACCGGTCATATGAAAGCTTGGGCGTGCCTTCTTCACCTTGGTTGTAGCAGTTATCATATTTGAGATAGTCGATCTATACTCACATTAGTAGATATCCAGATGAGATTGAGAATTTCGAAACTTGGAGCAAAACATACTCCCCAGCTTGCCCAGACCGCGGCATCCTTCTCCTCAAATCCCAAGGAACCTGCATAACGCGCGCAAGTCATAGTACCGGCGCTGGAATAAATTCCAATTTTCAATCCCATACTATGAATTTTATCTGCGACGTCGGCAATTCCATTGGGAAACTTCTGGCTATCCGGAACGAGGTATCCAGAAGAGTTCCGACCGGCAGACCAGCAGTCATCCAGCACAACATAATTATACCCGAGATCCTTGAAGCCTAATTCGACAATTAGTTTTGCTGCGTCCAGAATGACAGTTTCATTCATGCTGCAGCCAAATGAATTCCAAGTGTTCTATATTTGTCAGCTTTCATTTCCAATTGGTAAAATAAAGTAAGATCTTCATTCGACACGCACCCATCCTAATTGAGGAGTTCGTGCAAGTCCATTTTCCAATGCAGCAGCTAGCCCTATGGCCAGGGAAAGGGCGATAACACGCATGGTCGCGACTCTTTTGATCAAGATATGAAAAGAAAAAAATAAACTAAATCAATGTACTACCTCATATACATGTTGATGCAACCTTATATGCCCCGTGGGGAGCGGGGTATTACCCGGAGGAATGTAAGCACTGACATCGATCTAATTTTTTACCCGATTTTGTCGAAGGGAAATAAGACAAACCGCCGAAATTAAACCGCGACTATCTCAATACATACATGATCAGCTCGGGCTAGAGTTGCCTGGAATCCTAGTTGGGTAGGCGAGCATCATCAGCGTGGCTAGTAGTAGCCTTTCCATGGTCTTTCTGGAGGCCTCGTGCTCGATCGATCCATGTCCGTGCCGAAGCTTGAATGCCACCTTCCCTTGAGCATTCCCGCTCAACAATGTCCATGACAGTCTGCACAAATTGAGCAGCTTGTTTTGCTTGACTCCCAGCCTCGGTGGGCGCACTAGCAGCCCCTAACAGCCTCCACTTTTCGGCAACCGATTGCCGACCTCCAATTACTCCCATGTTCCTTGTACTGGGGATACGCAGAAGAGTCTTCTCCACTTGGTATCCAACTTCCTCTGCGACAGTGACTGTTTTCGTCGTGAGAAGACCATACATAGATGTCCACATGCCATTCTCTGTCTTCTCTGTCTGCTTAGCAGCGCGCAATGCCTTCAAATCACCCGACGCTGGCTGCGGATTTTGCTCTGCCAGCTGGTCTGATTTATCCACAGCACCCGCTGCAGTCTTTGGTTTTGTCCCCTTTGGAAGTGGGTAGCGATATCGAGATCCAGAGAGCGAGTGAGAGCAACATGGTATGGCGAGGAATGGAAGGGGAGATTCAGGGCATGCCAGGGCAGCGATGAGCGGAGTCCACACGGTAAGTTCGTCGGCGTGGTTGGAAATGATGAAAGTATCACGAGCGAAATTGCCAGTGGATACATTCACCTCAATATCACCGGTTCCAGTAATATCTGCAAAGGGCTTGGGAATGAGAATCTTCTCTGTGAGCCTTTCCTGGACCCATTCAGGGTAGATGCTCCACGACTTGCGTCGACGGGCATCGAATCCGCAGCCTGAGTAACCTTCCATGAGGAGAACGTAGACAAGTACTCCATTTCCACATGCCATGTCCACGAAGCCTGGGAACTTGCTTGCGTTGGTTTGTTCGTTAGGGTTTTCCTTCGCTGGAAGGACCCCATACATCATGCGCCATAGTTCAATAAGAAATGCAGTAATGGCTAGATCTTCATAGACGTGTTTGCTTGGCTCGGTACTCTCAGCCCAATTCTCACAGAGATCAGCGGCATATAGCGTTTTGAGTCGTGCGTAAGTGTTTTGAACCAGATGACGAGGAACGAGATTGTCTTTCAAAGAAGTAGGCTTGCTCGTGTTCTCACTAGTGGGTTTACCCTTAGCCCACGCGTGAGCCGGACGTAAAAGTTAAGGAGGATATGTAATGTGCGCTCCAGTCGCTCCGGAATGTCATCTGAGAATGGCAGGAAATGCACAGACATGGTACCAGCGTTGGGGCCTTGAAAGTCATATAGAGTAGCAAGTCCTCTTAGCTGTGGGTGGTAAAATGGAATATCTTCTTGGGACTGAATATGCGGGAGAAACATGGTCAACACTCGTTGTTGAAGATTGTTCGCGTGGTCTTCATTATCACTTTCCAAGGGCGCAGGCTTGGATTTGTAGAAATGACAAGTCTGTACGAGTGGTTTGTCGATATTCTGATTTCGAGGAATTAATCTCCGAATAACAGTCCGGATCAGATCGAAGCCCTTCACTCGGGCTGCAGGCTTGGCCGTGACTGCAGTATCTGGTATCGCTGGTGCCGGCCCACCAGATGTCCCTGCAAGCTCTTCATCTTGTTGAGGTGTCTTAAGTATACCCAGACTGTCGAACAAGATATCTGCCCGGAACAAATGACTTGAAGTGATGTTCGGGTTGGCCATAAGAAAGACTGCAGTTTCGTAGAAATTTTCTTGGGAAAAGGGCAGTCCATCTTCACTGAGGTCTGAAGATGTAAGCCAGTCATCTTGGTCTATCTCCAGGACTTGGCAGCTGGACTCAAGTGTCTCTTTGAGAGGCTTTCCTGAGAGCCTGCTCAGGTCCCGCACGTTCTTTCTGTTTGGCATGTTGAGAGCTTCTAGTTGGTATCATTGAAGAGATTTGACATAAGATCCTCAGAGAAAGGAGTAGTGGTCATAAATGCGAGACCACAGTAAAATGTGCCAACACATATGCTAATGAATACCCGGACGGTGTATTCTTCGAATCTTGTCCCTTGTTCCTGAATAATGGGGTTAGCTGCTTCCAAGAGTGACTTCTGCCGCTGGCGTTCGTATGTGCGGTAGAGGGTAATGATCACGTGATATTTATACATTTGACCCAAGAAGTGCAACTCATTGTGAGTAAAATACAGTGTGAATCATATCCTAATATTCAAGTGTTGGTTATCTGAATTTATGTTTATATCTATTTGGAAATTGGATGAGTTTTTGACTTTCAACAATCCATTAAGGCAGTCTGGTCAGAAATCAAGTCACGAGAGAGACCAGGGCAACAACTAATGGAAATGCCGAATACGCCCAACGTCGATTTGCAATGAACTGTTACATCACGATCACCTCCCAACTTCTGACTGTCACTAGAAAGGAGAAGTGCTTTATTTCCGGTAATACATCTTTCGATTATCCTACCAGGCGCTAGTATCAGGCGCTGTCAAGTCTTGCACAAACTGACGTCGCGACCAGCATTTCTACTAATGGCAATGGAATCATCCACACTGAGAGGTACATTATTGCATGGTTGGCTGATCACATAGCCCTACAGCTCGAAGTACGGTCCGGGCTCTCAAATTTCTAGCAAGTTCTCTTCCAGCTCATGGAGTTTCTGCTCAGATCAACGCTGCTACCGGTCTAGTACTCATGACATTTGAAGTGTGCCTAGGATGCCATACAGAATGGTACACTCATCTGATAGGCGTGAAAAATATCATTATGTCTACCAAGTCTTCCAATTCGACTCGCGGGTCCTACTTACACGGGCCTGGCGCGTTAAAGCAGGGCTCGGAGGGGCAATGGATATTGCGTAGCTTTATTTATCATGATATCCTGGGAAGCGTTACATTAGGCAATCAGCCATTGATTGGCAGCCAATTCCTTGATGACCTCACAGACACCGTGGATACTTACCTAGACGTTGAGTTCGAAATCCTCGTGAGTAAATCTGATATCAGCTTTCTCGGGGAGCAGTGCCTGCTACGTGACTACATACGGCTCAATGAAACCAATTTAGTGTACCAAACTGTTTCAGCTCTATGTAGCAAAAATTGAAGTCCTGGGTATGCCCACCGGAAACTAATCCGGCCCTCGTCTCACTGGCCTATGCCTATCGCAGTAGTGCCTTGATTTATCTATACCGCCGGACGCTTGCCGGACTAAGACTTCATAGACTACTATCACAGAGTACATATCAAGACAACACGTCCGACCTGGGCGCAGCAATACAAGCTGAAATCTCGACTATTCTCCATCACACGACTGGCATCCCCGTATCCGGAATTGTTCAGTCAGCGCTACCTTTCCCTCTTTTTATTGCGGGAGGCGAGGCTAAATCTCGCAACCATATGGATATTATTCGATTGAGACTGAACGAAATGTTGGAAAGCATGGCTTTAACAATATTCAGCAAGCATTGGGCATGTTGGAACAAGTATGGGAGAAACGGACTGCTGCCGAGTACGGGGATGAGGATTGTGATGTCGACTGACGTGACATTGTTAATCGGCAAGAAGGCGATCTTTTTTTAACTTGAAAGTTAACAAGAGATAACGTAGCATTATATAGTATAGCAAAACCACTAGAGGAAGCAGTGGAGGATACCACACGCTAATTTAGTTCAAAGTCGTATAGTAACTTGCTGCATCAAGAATCCGAGAGGTAACCGAATGTTCTCGAACCATGACAGGAGGTCAGATTTCCCCATAAAAGATAATACAAATATAATTCAATGGGCCTACCTTAATTCACGGATTTTTAGTCATTTTGTAGAGCAAACCATGGAAGTCAAGCCCATACACCTGTCATGCTTACGCAATGACATCAAACGATTGATCCGAGAGAAACTTGATATATCTACCCTGAACTTTCATAGTCATACCGCTTCCCAAAGAGGATCCTGGTTATTCACATTCATATCTATTCCGGTAAGAGTTCAACAAACCCAAAGTCTTCTCCATATCTAATTCATGTTACAGATACGCCCAATGAAGCTCAACACCTACGAAATCTGCACCATCATCTTGGCTGCCCTCACGTTTCCAACATTCGTAACTTCTGCACCCCCAACAAACCCAAACTCGCCAAAAGTCAAACACGACTGGGCCATCAAGCTCTATGAAAACCAACAATGCACCGGAAAGTCGGCCGAATTCGCCGGGATGGGTTCCTCGGGATGTCGTCGCAATATTCCGAACGGGGGCACGAAGGGCTTCTTCAAAGGTCACATTGATTCGACTAGCTCTGTGAATCTGTATGGAGATGACCACTGCGGGCACGGTTACAAAGTGGACGCAATCCACTCAAACATCGATGATAAATGCAAGAAGATCCGGGGGAAGAAGAAGCATATTAAGAGTTTTGATATTACATGTTCGTGAGACACATGTATCACTGATTCGGTCTAGAAGGCTTTTGTCAGAGTCTAGTTTGTAGTCTCAATGGATTCTTGTTTCGACCTGAAACACTCGGTTGCAGTTTGTATCTCCGCCTTGTGTGTGGGAACAAATGGCATATTCGACAGACCAATTCTGGATGTAAAGAAAGACGAAAGGACATCTTTGAGCCTAAAACATAAGCAGTAATTCAGCAGCGGTAGCTAATTTACCCAGCCATAGTGCTGTTTAGGTCGGCAGGTCAGCTACACTCACTGACTCTGAAGCCAATGTACTTCAAATCTGCGACGACTAGCTGGTAACTCTACCTACGCTAAACTCAGAAGTCACTGCTAACCTTCGAAGACCATATCAGTCTTAACTAGACATTCCCAGCGTGCCCAAAGGAGCTTAAGCTGGTATGGTATAACTTTCTATAAATCCACACTCGGAGCCATAAGATCCGAATTGCCCAGCAGAAACAATTCCACGCCACCAAATTGGAGGGTTAATACTTTGTAGATTTTAACCCTTCCAGGAACGAAAGCAAACAAATAAGCTTCATTCTTGATTGGCGGAATTATACACTCACTCACCTAAGTCCAGCCTAATCAATCCCCTATATAACCGGCGATAAGCAACCCACTCCCTTATCAACCATGACGCAACCCCGCGCTCCGTCCAGCTTACCCGGTCAGAGAAGAAACAAAAGCCCCTCCACAACCCCCACTCCCACTCCCTTCACTCGTTAATAAAGCTCGTGCATAAGAGAAGATACCAATGGCACCGCGCTGCTTCATCGTCCGCCACGGCGAAACCGAATGGTCCCTAAACGGGCGCCACACCGGCACAACGGACCTCCCGCTAACAGCCAACGGCGAGAAACGCATCAAAGCCACTGGCAAAGCCCTCGTCGGGGATGACAGGCTCATCGTACCAAAGAATCTAGTCCACGTGTAAGAAAGACCTTAACCCTTAGAAAATATCTACATCCTCCGAGCTCTCTGATCCTGTTCATCGCTGAATTAAAGCGTTCCACCAGATTCGTCTCCCCACGCTCCCGCGCCCAACGAACCCTCGAACTCCTCGAGATCGGCTGCCGCGAGCGTCTTCCCTGGAATGAGCAGCGGAAAGCTGTGCACGAAGAGCCGATTCGGACGGAGGCTAGGGTGCAGATTACGGAGGCGATTCGGGAGTGGGATTATGGGGAGTATGAGGGGTTGACGAGTGTGCAGATTCGGGCTATTAGGGCGGAGAAGGGGCTGGGGCCTTGGAATATTTGGACAGATGGGTGTCCTGGGGGAGAGTAAGTGTCTTTTTTTTTTCCTTTCTCATTTGGAATTGAGTCTTTTGGCTATGCATATTTGGTTGGGAAATCAGAATTGGGTCTGATATAGCTTGTTCTTTGGGTTTGGGAGTGTCTACAATTGGAGCGGACGCTGTTCTCTGCCCCGTACCCCCAAACGATGCTCAAGCTAATTCATATTCTCCTTTTAGATCACCCGAAGACATTGTCCGCCGTCTCGATGCTCTGATCACCGAGATCAAGGACAAATACCACCGCGCCTGCTTCGAGCACCCCGACCAGCAAAAAGGGGACGTCCTGGTTGTTGCGCACGGGCACATCCTCCGCGCATTTGCCATGCGCTGGGTTGGCAAGCCATTGAATGAGACTTCGCTGATTCTGGAAGCCGGCGGTGTGGGCACGTTAAGGTGAGTCGCAGAGATACCCCCGTTTCCCGTGATAGCGCGAACTTGCCAGTGTGCAAGTAAAAGAGCCGAGTCGACCCCGGGCAGTTTGAAGGAATATGACTGATGAAGCCTGTCCAGCTATGAACACCACAACATCGACGAGCCGGCAGTTATCCTCGGAGGCCAATTCGTTGTCGAGTAAAGATCATATTCCCAACGATCATAACATAGCACATTATTGCCCATCCATCTCGGCACAGCTACAAACCCTCAAGTAAATAGTTAGCAAACCGAAGCAACCCCTTATAGAACCCAAGACAAGTCACACAAACCCCAACTACAGTAACTCACCTTCACCACAAAACAAACCCCTTATAAAATAAACCACCCTCCCCAACATCTTCAATCTTCCTCACTCTCCTCCTCCTTCACCCCACCACCAGCCGCAGCAGCAGTAGCACCATCACCAAACCCCTTAACTCCCTCCTCCCCAAGAACCTTCGCGCTCCCCATAAACAACGCCCCCATATACCCACCCAAAAACCGTATATCCCCGGCCTGCACCGCCGTCATGCGCAACAGATTCTCCGTATCCGCCAGGTTGGCGTTTAACTTTGCCAGTTGCGTGTGCAGGTGTGCGTATTGTCGGCTTTTGGCGGCGGACATTGAGGCGGAGCCGCTTGCTGAGCTTGACGGGTTGGGGTTGGGGTTTGCATTTTGATTTTGGGTTTGGTATTGGCTTTGGTGGAGGTGTGTGGACGAGGTTGAGGTTGGGAGGATTGAGGCGCGGGGGTAGGAGGGGTGGGAATCGGTGCGGTGGTGGGTTGGGTTGAGGGGCATTGTTGCGGTAGTTTTGAGTTTGTTGTGAGATTTCTTTCAGTGCGAATATCTTGCTCGAACGATCCCTCGGCTGGACGTTGTATGAGTGTATGAGTGGGTTGTTGTCAGGGAAGATCGCGAGGAAACTCCGAATGTTTACATCGACGGTTATCTCACGTGACCGTATCTGTCTATCAAGGACCAAATCGCGATACAGCACAACTTCATCTACAATCCAAGTCTACTCAAACTTACAATACAAAGATACCAAGAAAAAGAGAGCAGCCAGAAGCAACTTCAATAATATAACGGGGAATGTCTATCAGTTCGTGCGCACCATGAAGGATACAAGTCAAAAAAACGGTGTCTGTCCAGAACACGGCCACCCCGATTCGCCAGAACCACCGCAAACACATCCGTTATTAAGATCCACGGCAAGCGTGGACCAAAGCCAGCCATGAAGACCAAATTCGACTATTTAGTCGAACCTATATCGAACGATATCCTCCGCTCTTTTTGCAAATGCGCCAGGGAGGAATGGGGAAAAGCAGACCGCAGAAACAAATAGACAAAAAAAAAAAAAAAAAAAAAAAAAAGACCGTAGGCGTGAGATAGGCCGGATGATGAGGTAGGGTTGAGACAGCAAAGAGAAGAAGGTTCAAATAAAGGAAAGTTCGATGCCGAGGACGTGGCAGGATGATGGGAATGATGATAATAGACGCAGATCAGGCTGAGAGTAGTAAGGCGACGTATACGAGCCACGTATGATGAGTTAGACCAAAAGGAAAACAAAAAAGGAGTGCGCCGGTTCCGGTAGTGTACAGTCATGCAGAGAGGCAAGGAGAGTCAGAAGTGCGAGGCGTTGCGACTGAGGCAGTGTTGTAGGTGAAAGAGACAGCCGACAAAAGCATTATATCGATATGCTGCAAAGCAAGAACAGGAAAGATGAGGGAAAATCCCCCGGTCTAGGCTGTGCGAAGGGCCTCGGCATTGGAGTGGACGGAGAGAAAAAAAAGAATCGATAATGCCTCGAGAACGGACTGAGTATCAATGCAGCGTAGGGAAAGAGAAAAAAGAGAAAAGGAGATCGAGTCGAGCACAACCCAAATTCCCCAGCGCTCCGGAACAAAGATAGAGGGGGGAAAACGAAACACCAATAAGCGATAAGAACCCCTATGTCCCTCATGTATATGTAAAGAAGCAAACAGCAGAGTATTAACCGATAGCCTCAATTCAAAACCGGGGGGTGGAATCCGTAAAACAATATCCCCCGTAGAATGACCCCCACGCAGCGAATGCAAAAACAGTCCAAACATGACAGAGCTTGAGAGAGCAGGCGAGAAAGGTATGGTGTCCAGGATGATAGGAGATGATGGAGGAAAACGTCAGAAAGGAAAACCGAATCGGTTCGTCGATCGCCAATTGTTCGTCATCAAGTGCGAGTAGGGTGACGTAAAGCAGGTGGGAAAACAATCAAGGGAAAACGAGCTCCAGCTTCAGCTTCATCGAACGGGCGCTGCTGGAACGGCATAATGGTCACCGAGACTGATCTGGCTGCTATGAGCCGAGGCTTCGGAATCAAGATTCGCGCTGGCTCCGCTATCACCACTTTCAGCACTGGCGCTCGCACTTCCGGTCAGACTTTTGTTCTTGGGAGGGCCCTTAGCGGGAAACGAGTTGCTCACCCCATAGTGTTGCTCAAGCTGCTGCGGTCCAACCGGGCCTTGTCCTGACGGGTGCCGGGGGACCGGTGTCCGCATGTTTCCAGGCGGCGACGGATGGCCATTATGAGGAGGTCCACCATGGGGTCCAAGACTCTGATCATGACCAGTCATGGGACGACCCATACGAGATGGGCCGGGGGTCCAGGGAATGGTGCCGCGGGGGACTGGCTGTTTCGCCGGCTCTGAGGGTACGGTCGGGGAGGGTAATCGCCCATATGACTGGCCGTTAGAGAGTTGGCCCGTGAGTCGATGCCCATCTGGTTGCGGTCAACGGCTCCGTATCGATTCGACGAGTAGCTCATCATCGGGTTGTCCATGAGCGAGTCATGGAGGCCTGGGATTTCTTGCATCACTCGATCGCTCGCGCGTTTCCGACCGAAGTAGCGACCAAACGATGACCCAGGTCGACTCTGAGGCATATGACCACCGCCCATCATCTCAGGGTTCTTACGGATCTGACTGGGGTTGGGTGCCTTCCGGGCTCGGCGTGACGTGATGCTCATCATATCAACTTGATCGGGATCGATATGAGGAATTGCCATGTTGTCCATTGGGTCGAAATAGTCCTCATCCTCTTCGTCAAAGGCCGAAGCTGGTGCCCGAGGTGGTGGCCCACGACGACCTGGGCCTGGTCCAGGGCCTCTCCGCATGCTCATCTCCTGTTCCCGTAATTGCAATTCACGCTGGCGCAGAGCCAACTCGCGTTCCCGTAGGGCTATATCACTAGGAGAAGAGGCCGCATCCGTATAACCATTGCCGTTTGCCTGGGGCATGGGCGTTCCACCTTCCGATTCATCGTAGAGCACCAAATGGCTGAACTCCTCGAGTCCTTCCAATGAAGCGTCTCGGGAAATGCCTCGGCCCTGGGGGCCCATCGGCATAGGCCCACTGGGTCCTCGAGGCATCATGCCAGAGGGCGGACCCCGTCGCTGGCCAGGAGGGGGTCCGCCCATACTCGAATGGGTCCGACTCGATCGCATCGCGCCATTCATCGGTGGGCGCTGTGGAGGAGGTGCGGAGGACATTCGGGGTGGGGGGTGACCCATGACCGATGCGGGCGGGGAATCGCCTGGTCGGGGCCGGTTCTGGTTCACAGTATTGATATGGTGGAGCATGGCGTATAAAGCTTCGATGTGAGGGACGGACACGTTGGACTCGGTCGCTAGTTTAATGGGAGATCCCAAAAATGTCTCGATTTCCAAGGGGCGTCGGGCTTGGAAGTCTTGGTACATGGTGCTGGGAGCGTCTGATGCGGTCATCTTCTCGATCGTCTTTTCGCGGAAATCACCGGGAAAGTTGCAGCCCTGCACTCGAGCCAGCTCCAAGAGCTCGTCGATAATTCCAGTCACTAGTTGGCGGACTCCGACTTTCTCCAGGAGCTGTGTGTGGTTAGGAGTCTCGAATACTACACTTGCCGGGTGGAACGCGATCGGGCTATGACGGTCATTAGCACAACAATGGATCTCTGGAGCCTCTCCGGAAGGCGCCTGGGTTAGAACACTCACCCAATCATCCGGTCGAACTGTTCCTGTCGAATATTCGGCGATACGTGACAATCGACCTGTCCAGAGTTCAGAGTCATCGCCAATGCCGCGGCCATGTCGTTCTGGATGGAGGTGGGAATGGCGGATTGCGTGTTGGTTGCGCCCACATGGATCTCGCTAGAACTCAAGTGCTCGAAGTCGCTGGGGCCCGTCTGAGAGATCTCCACGTTGGAGACTAGCGAAAGAATCACGTTGGTAGGGTACCGTTGCTCCAGATGGGCCTCAATTCCGATGGTATTCGTTGTGTTTACCAGAATGCATGTGTGCTGGGGTGTGACGACGGATTCGATGACCGAGGCCAAATCGTAGATATCGGGCAATGCTTTCACGCAAAGAATCACATAGTCGTAGGCGTTTTCACGGGAGGAAGCTTCTTCAGGTGTTCGGACGACTAAACCACAGCCAGAAAGAGACAGATTAGCCTTGGGGCCCGAATGATTCGGAGCTCCGAGGGAAGAGAAAGGACCAGGACCATACCATGACGAGGTTTGAATCGCTCATTACCGAATGCTTTTGATCTATCCCAGAACCCAGGTGTCAGTGAACCAGTCCTCGCAGGCAGCAAGCGACTACGGGCGCAGACATACTTGAACGAAACACCATATTGGGCCACCGCATCGAACCCAGATTTCCAAACCAGCGTTACGTCGCAGGAAGTCGTAGCCTGCAGGCGCCATGACAAGAAAGCCGAAATCGCATTCCCACCCACTGCACAAACTTTCATTAGTGGCCGGCCCATGATGGAGGTTGGGGGCAATGTCGGAAACGTCGGGAAGGTCGGGGGAGAGGTTGGGAGGATGGACGAGATTGGAAGATTGGCAGATTGGGAGGAGGGGGGAGGAAAATCCAGGCGAGAGAGCAGGGGCCAGGATGAAGAACTCACCGGAGAGGATGCGCAGGCGTGGAGGAGGAGGGGGGGGCCATGGTCGAAACTGGCAGGAAGGTGGTGGTGTTGGGGGAGGGCGGGACCTTAAGTCGAGGAGGTCCAGAGGCGCGCGCGGCCGCCGATAAGCAGAGATCACCGGCGAGCCAGGGTGTGTGGGGAGGAAGGAAAGAAAGGACAGGGAGCTGGGAGAGGAGATGGTTTGTGTGTCAAAAAAGGGAGAACGGAGGGGGAGGAAGAAGAGGAAAGAAAGGGAGAAGGGAGAGAGAGAGAGAGAGAAGGGGAGAGAGAGAGAGAGAGAGAGTGAGAGAGAGTAGGACAAGGAACAAGGACCAGAGGGAAGGAGGGCAAAAAAGAAAAGAGCGAGTTTGGGCAGGAGGAGGAGAGAAGTTGGCCGGTTTTGGGACTGGACTGGGGCACGGGAGATGGGCAAGCATCAGAAGAATAAGAAATAAGAAGAGGATCATACGAAGAGGATCATCCAACGTGCAACTAGTAGAAACAAGTTCTTGATCCGTAATGATCACTTTCTTTCTTTTTTTGTGGTACTTCTCTACTTTCTTCGTGATCTCTTCCCTTCAACCCGATACTGGTACCTATCGCCATCCATCCATTGAACGAGTTCCCAAGATGCCAGGCAGAAGAAATTCACCAGAAAAAGGGCTTTTTCCAACGGTCGTGGATCCCCCCGCCAGGCTCAATCCGGAAACGGACAAGGCTCTGGACGATAAGAAAACCTGCCAACGGAAACAAAAAGAAGAATCACAAAGGATAATCCGTCTGCGTCGACCTTCTGACCACGAAACTATTGATGAAATAGTGTAGATGGTTCTTTTCACTACGAACATACACGACTATGCAAATCAAATCATTCTCTTCCGAGTACGACTCTGTCCGAAGAGGCCGCTGGTCGTCCCGCGTCATAGCCGTTTCGTGGCCCTCCACGCAATCAACCCGCTGGTGGTACATGCATACATCCATTGGTGGTCGAGGCCCTGAGCTGTGAAGAGTCAGAAAAGGATGCTGATCCGGCGATCGAGAAAGTATTTGATCTCTCTCTAGCTCGAATTCATGACAATCGGTATCTTCCAGAAAAGAGATCGTGTCCTCCTTGGTATACTTCTCCTCTACCTCGATGATCTCGATGATCCTCGGGCATGCACCACCAGTATCGGAGTGCAGAGTGGGTTGGGAAACTGGGCTGCTGCTATAATTAAACCTACGCTCTGATCATTTATTTTTTTCCTTGGGACCTTGATTTTGATTTTCCGAATTTCCTTTTTTTCCCACCCATTTTAGTTTTTCATCTGGGCCCTAAATGGAACTAAAAGGGGAAACCCACCCACCCAAGTTTGTTGGAGGCTCCACTCTCGAAACCACCATACGTCGATGGTTGATCGGCACGGCTGTTCACTTGGTCTGTGAGCCACTGCTCAGTGTCCATACTATCGGACGACGGGACCTTGTTTTGGCTTGATTTAGGCTTGTAGCTTGTCGCATACCTGTCATGTCGTTCTCCCCGGGGAGAAGGAAGGCGAAGAACGAAAAGCTCATCAACGTGGGTAAATGGGCTGCGACGCGTACATCGGCCGCGTTCCCCTTCCTCCACTTTCGGAAATCCACAGTCTACTACTGTAAGCTATGTCGCCCGTTGTCGGCCCGGATTGGGGTGCACAGGGAGATATTCCGGGCTAAGTACAGCGTACAGGCTTTCAAGGTATCCTTCAGGTAAGTTCTACACGAAAATGCTGCACCTGAGTCTCCTATCAAAGCTCCGATGGGACTCGCCCGCAGAGTCAGTTGCACAAATGAATTGACACTAACTGGACCAGGAATTGAGTTCGCCGTTCATAACTCATGCGGCCCAAGCATCCTCGCTTCTACTGTAGCTTTTGCTTTTCTCCCAGGGGAACCACTAACGAGATAGCGAAGGTAAGGCTAGCTTCGACTCCTCCGCCAGTGTGGTATTCGGTACATACTTGCGCCACGAGAGGGGTGATGGTGGCGGAAACGTGAGCTCGATCCTAGCGGGACTGGACAAATACCGAAGCAATTGGCCATAACTCTGAGTCACAAGCAATTGGCCATAACTCTGAGTCACATGGTTAGAGGAACATACAGTAGTATACAGTCGTTAGTGCTTAACGATTAGTCTGTGGACAGGATCGTAGATTCGTGGCCCTGGTATGGTGTACAAGTCAGGCACAGGTGTGTTCTCGTGTAAGTACAAAGCGAGTACATATCCTTGATCAATGCACGTTGGCAACTTGACTAGGTACCACCGACCGAGGTTAAAAGCAGAGCAAGCCTATCGCGAGAAAACACAAGGACAAAGCATCGTACGATTAAATGGTAACTAACTACTCTGGGAGAACGAGAACCTGGCGTATGACCCACTATTGGCTGGCATTCAGAATAGTTAGTTAGTTTAATCATCTGATAAATGCCCTGGCAGCTGACCGTACAAGACTTCAATCCTAACAACACGACAATAGCCATAGTATGCTACAAACTATAGTAAAAGTATATAGCTGTATGTACTATTTCCTTCTTCCGGCCTAGCCCCAGGGAATCAGAGATACACCATCCTGCAAAAAGGAAGAAGAGTAAGAACTTAAGAAAGGGGCGGCGGTGTTTGCTGAAGGATAATAGGCAGGCGCAGCATACCACAGCTCAATCGGGTCAACCAGGGGATCGACAACCCCCGTTTGCAGCCAATTCCAAGGGATCAAGTGTTTCTGCTTCTAGATCTCGCTGTTCTGTCTTCGGGGTTTTTTTTTATGAGACACGAATTGAGTCTGAGGAATCTGATAATCCTTCTAGCACGTCGTCCTCGCCTCCTGCAGACGATCGTCCTGCATACTTGGGGTGTTTCACATCGAACCCTTTCTCCTCGTCGCGTGCATGGTCGACTCAGCCCAGACTCTACGGATCCAAAGGTACAAGGGTATGAAGTGCAGAGGTCGAAAAGGTTCTGAACTGGTCAGATTGATCAGTATATCCTGTTCTAATTCATTGCATACTCTCCAAATTCATATGACTCTATACATACCGCGCCTAGTATGGACATGGATATGTACTACAGGAGTTCTGCAGGCTAGATGGCTATATACGCGATCGCGGCGACCAGACCATCAGGGTGGAGACCAAATGGGTCAATTCCGGCCAGCAGCCGAACAATCAGAACAAACAGCGTCAAGCGCGTCGCGGTCACGGTGGAGAAGCCCTATCCACATTTACATCAGCCTCCCGATTAATAATCTCTAGTCGAAGCTCAATTTTTTTTCTCCGACCGCGCGTGGTGGTCGCGGCCGGATGTTTCGCGAAGGGAACACCATCGTACAGAAGCGGTCATGCCGCCAGGTGGCAGGGCGAGTGAACCACGTTTGCAAAAGACGAAAGCAGATGTTTGTGTTTTTGTTTTTGTTTTCGCGAATTTTTCGGAGTTATATATCCATGCAATAATTTTCATGCAAGCCGAGTACTGCAGGTTCTTACGCCAGTCTACAATATACTGTAGGAATAATAATACAATGAACATACTATGTTAATTATGCATTGATCATTACTTGTAGAACAAATCTGCATATGTTAGCTTTGCTATTGTATGTCCCTCAAGAGGCCTAACTACAGTAGGCAAGACAATTGCTCAGCCACGATCTCAGGCCTTGGCTAAGAGGTCAAGGCTAGAGCCAACAGCTGGTCCTGACGATCGATGATCTCACGATTTGCACGATTGTCATGACGATAGTCCCCGAGCAGCGCCACACACGCGCTCATTATTGCCTTTGCCGGGGATAGATTAGAAATGCCACCCAGCGTAATATACAGTAGATCACCGTGTCTCGGTACTTTTCTCGTGCGGAAAACCGGAGCACCCACGAACGAGATTTAATCTATTTCGTACTCGTTATGAAGACCTGGCGCTGTGCCAGGGAATTTCCCTGCTCTTTCATCGGTCGAGAAAGGTCGATTGGGTCCCACCGAAACTATGGTCTGTCACAGGTACAGCACAGCACTTGATTTGCCCACCTAAGGATCGACCAGTACCAAATTCGATAGCTCGGATTCCGATCATTGTTATTTTTTGGAAGCCACGAAAACCACTTTCACTGTGCTTGTATGGATAGCTCGAAACACTTCATCTGGAAGATAACAAAATTTTCAGTTGAGTTCGCTTCCGTCAATATCCATTGATCGCGATAGTCACACGGGATCGCACAGTAGTAGTAAGTGACCCCAGTGTGGAATATTTTACATAGACAACAACCAGACGACAAAAAAGAAGGTACAAGAACATCCAAGGTGGGCGGATCCCAATCCCATTGGCTGGTTAGAAATGATCCCGTCTCATAGGCTGTCCTTCACAAGGATCGGCTTTTGCAATTGAGTCAGTGGCGGCTGCCAATGAACGCCCAGTGGAAGGTCCAGACAGATACGGAGAACGCCGGGTCCTCTTCGAGAATTCGAGGCTACTCGAGGATGGAAGACGGAGGACGGAGTACGGGTACAGCACTGTAACAGCATGTGCACTCCGTAGAGTAGTTACTAACTACAGGATACGACTCCCTCGAACTTTTGTGCGAATCACTCCAAAGTCTCATCGACGCTAAAGCAAGACAAAAGGCCCTTTCCCCCGTGGGTGGACACTGGCGCCTGGTGGTGCGAAGGTTGGAGACAGGGTTTAGCGGGAGAATCAACGCAGAAAAATCGGGTTTTCGTGGTTCAAGTTAAACTACAGTCCTGGAAGCAGTTAGATTGTGGTTAATGGTGACCCTACACTTTTCTGGGTTGGGCTGGACTAAGTGGCTCGGGTGATCGCTAGTTTGTGCCTGCTGCCTTGTTTTGTTGATATG